TTCTGAACATTAGTACTCCGATAGGAAAGGTATGGATGGTTCCGATACCCAGGATTGTAGGTGTTGGAGTATGGGTTATTCTGCCTATAAGCTTGAAAGGCATTAACTTGCTCCACGGAACTCCTGCAATCTTGCTCCCAATGACCTATAATACCACAATTTTCACAGAAGGCCTCATTAGAATTATTATTAATCGCAGAAACATTAGCTACATTAGCAGTGCTCAGATTATCTAATTTTTGGCATATAGAGGTCAGTTGAGCTTATAAAAAGGATACAGAGTCAACACTATGTTTCCCCTTGTTAGCAAATCCTCTAGGATTCCCATATTGGGAATTGTGTATCGCCATATCTTCAATAACCTGACCTGCATCTTCAACATCAAGATTCATAAATCTCCCACTAGCTGCAGCCTGCAGAATCTAAAATTATTCGAGAAGAATTTCCAAGGCCATTATAAAAGGCTTGGATTAGCTGCCATTGTGCTAAATTATGGTGGGGCAGTCTCTTTGTAGATCCTTGAACCTCTCCCAAGCCTCATATAAAGATTCATCGGCTTCTTGGGCAAAGTTCTGAATTGCACTCCGTAGTACGGTTGTTCTCTCTGCAGGATAATACTTGTTATAAAAATTCAAAACAAGAGTTTCCCAGTCAGTTATGCCAAGTGCAGTTCTATTTAAGCCATTAAACCACAATTTAGCTTTTCCAGTTAATGAGAAAGGAAAGAGAATCTCCCTGATTTGGTCTTGAGTGACCCCGGCTTGCCTGATGGTGTTGCAATATTGACAATAGTCGGCAATGTGAAGATTTGGGTCTTCACCCTTGGCTCCACTAAATTGCTTCCTCTCTATCATCGTTATAAATTGAGGTTTAATTTCGAATTGAACCCCATCAAGAGCCGGAGTAGGGGTGGGATGTGGAAAATCTTTAAGCTTGGGTTGTGAGTAATCACTAAGCTTCTTTGGAACCGCCATCTCTGATTCTGGATCTGATGATACCTCTGAATTGCTAGAACCAATTGGAGGACCGCGGTGATTATTATTATCACCAGAATCCGCCAGAATTTTCTTGTAGAGATTTTTCTGTCTATGGAAGGAACGTTCGATCTCAGGATCGAATGGGATGTACCCTGATCTGGAACACCTGGGGATAAACAAAAACTAGAAGCAAATATGAGATTTGCCTCAGAGAACGAAACGTTCTTTGAGACAAAAAGAATTAACCTAGACTACAAAAATAATCAGAAATAAAAATAAATCCGTTTCCCCGGCAACGGCGCCAAATTTTGACAGGGTAAAGTCGTATCCCCAAATCAAAAGTAATTCCTAAATCCTCTAACTAAAGTAGATAGGGAAATAGGATCGAATCCACAGAAAAATGGATCTTTCTATTCCTAATTAACTATTATAATCTAGATTATGAGGTAACCAAAATTTATATTTGAATAATAAACTAAACTACGGAGATCAAGAATAGGGAGAAAATAATATATAAAAGGATCTAGGGCATAGGTTCACTAATAAATAATATTCCAGGGTTGAATATAATAATCATTCATCAATGCAAATATTAATAAGATTATAAAGGGCTTTCGTTACGTATTATAATCACACAATTAATTTACTGGTATTAAATCTCATCTTTCGAATCTCGACCTAACCATTTATAAATTAACCTGCCTATTGAAACTAGACCTAAACATAATTCTCATCTGTCGAATCTCGAATCAATATTGTCAAACTCATGCATAAAAGATCTGCGCAAATCTAGTCACAGAGCATTAAATCAATTAATAGGAAATTAATCTGGCATTGATAATCAACAACAATAAATTACCCCTTCATATTATTTATGGATCCCCACAAACCCTAGAAATAAAACTACTCACACATAATAGAAACTAAACTAATCAAAGCGATAAAGTAAGACATGATTAAAGGAATAAAATAAACAACTAAGATTAAGAGAAGAGAAATCGTTACCAAAATAAATCTGGAATTAAGAGTAGATTAAGAACAAAGGTTTAAGAGAAAGAAAATCTAAGAGAACAATTAAGAGAGTAAAAGAAAAGGAAAGAGAGAGAGAGAAAATTGTATTACGGAGGAGTATTTATACTCCGTACAAATCCTAAACTAGAACAAACTAAAACGACGCTAATCGTCTCCTAATAAATACACGCGCCCGATCGGGCGCGCCTTTTTGCTCTTCAATACACTTCTCGCGCCCGATTGGGCGCGTCATCGGGCGCCGACCTTAGCTTCTCCCGCCCGGCCGGGCGCGCCTCCGGGCGCTAGCCTCTTTGGCCGGACGGCTCTCTTGGGCCATTATTTGGACTACGATTGGGCTCCAATTCTTCGGGCCAATCTGGGTTTCCTCTTCCGGTCTTGAATACTCGGTCCAAATTCCCCGGTATCACCTATACCGAGCCCTTAATCACCGGTTCGATGGCTCTAACCGGCCCTGGGCTATAAAATCTGGTCGTGTTTCTCCAATGCTCGTGATTGCTCCAAAATAACTCGGGAAAATACTCCAAAAGCATAAATCCCTGCAAAAGTCAACCAAATCTACGAAAACACTAGAAAATACCAATTAGTAATAAAAGTGGCTATAAAGAGCAAAAAACACTACTAATTAAGACCAAGGGACAGGGGTAAAATACTATATAAAATAGACACATCAGCGAGCTTGCCGGGTCTGCCCGGGCACATGAGATTTCCCCATTTTCTTGAATTCTTGTTTTCGCCTTCTTCCGCCCAGAAATATTCACAAAAATACTCCTTTTACTTGATATATGAGAATGTAATCTTCGTTTTTCTTCCTTTAACACAACACAGGTTACCCAATATGAGTAACAAAATGTATTACTAAATACTAATGAGACTGTTGTAATTCTACAAAAAAAAATTATCCTTCTTCCTCCTACCTCCTCCATATCTCAACAACAATGACGAATACGACCTAGTAGCACATCAAACAGTAAACCCAACACCATCAACCCCACAACAAACCTCAACCCCAACCCAACCATTTCAATGGTGAAACAAAGAAAATCCTGAGAATAACATACAAATTACGGCATGGTGAACCCTAAAGGAAAGATATTTATCATTTTGCGTGTGAGTTTTCCATCCTCCATTGATATTGATCCTCAAATTCTATTGTTGCGAAATTGAGAACTCCTCAACTTCCATTGTTGGGATTGAAGATAGCGTGAAATTATCAATAAATGGATTTTTTTAGGAAATTTTGCCATTTGCTACCAGGGAAAACACCTCGCTTTATGTTTGCTACCGGTTTATTTTTTTTTTTTTACTTTGCTACCACCTAAATCAGAGTTTGTTAAAAATCACTACCACTTGTCTTACACCGTTAGTATTTCCGTTACCACCACCCAACCACCGTCCAGCCACCACTCATTCCCACCCACCAACTGCCCAATCCACCGCCACTGTTCAACATCAAACACACCGCAACCACCACCCAACCACCATCCAGCCACCAGTCCTTCCCCACCCACCAGTTGCCCAAGCTACCTCCACCGTCGCCTGAGCGCAATCCTCTGCCGACGACTCCAACCACCCAACCCCCAACGACAATAGTGTCGACGCCGGTGTCGCGACCCTCCCTTGAAAACCACTTCCCAGCCCTTCCCCTCCAAGCCCCGATCCTAGCCCCCTCCCCTTAAAAACCCGATCCCAGCCTCTTCCCATCGAAAACCCGATCCCAACCCCATTCCGACCGATCCTATGCCGCGCAAAGGAGTTTTTGGAATCCCCAGCCACTTAAATCACGATAAGCGAATTCGGGCTGGTGGTTTAGGGTGAGGGTTGTTGGTTTTCGTTGGGGAAGGGGAGGGGTTCGATTCCGACATAAATCACCGGCGCCGCCTGCAGCTTTGGGCGCTGGCCACCGGTAGGGAAGGGGGGAGGATGGTTGACGGGGAGGGGCTAGGCTTTTTTGGGTGGCTGATTTTTTTTTTTTTTAATTTTTTTTAATAAACTTAACGGAATCTTAACGGAGTGGTACTGATTTTTAACAAACTATGATTTAGGTGGTAGCAAAGTAAAATAAAAAATTAAAACGGTAGTAAATGTGAAGCAGGGTCCTTTTACTGGTAGCAAATGTCAAAATTTCCTTTTTTTTTATAGTAAAAAGAAAGGCCCTACCGGGCCAGAACCTCTCACAAGTCAACCCGACTAGGGTTAGCGGGTTAGGCTCTTTGGGGGGGGGGGAAGTGATTATGAGATGACAAACCTTACCACTAGATCAAGCTGCGTACTCAATGAAGTGGAATTATAAAATTTAATCTTATTTTCTAAGATTAGTCAAACTAGTATTATTACACATTTAGGGCCTTTCTCATTGACTGAACTGAAATGAATATTTTATAAGAAAAGAAAATTAGGAGTTGAACTGAGCTGAGCTGAATTGAACTGAATTGAATTTCAACGTATGAGAACATACCCTTACAATCGCGTAATAGGGAGTATTCCAAAATTACAAAATTGGCAATTTTTTTAGGAAATTTTGATTTTTACCACCTTCAAATAACGACTTTGTCGAATTTACCACCTCCAAAAAAAAAACATTTACTTTACCACCTCATAAAAAAATTAAACATCAGTTTTACCACCAATCACCTCCAACTAACGGATTCCGTCCAAAAATCCGTTAGTGGGGCCTACCTTGCACACGTGTCGCCATATTATTGGTTAAGTTTTAAAAAAATAAATAAAAAAAACAAAATAAAAAATAAAAAATCCCCATCAAGCAACCGATGGTTGCTGCCACCGTCGGGACCCCCACCGCCGGACCGGCTACGACCAGCCCCACCACCTAACCGTTACAACCAGCCCCCACCACCTAACCACTACCAGCCACCGTCGGGACCCACAGCCACCGCACCGATTTCGACCTCAAAACCCTAGCCACCACCTAATAGCTACGACCAACCCCACCACCTAACCGCTACCACCGCACCGCACACCACAGCCGCGCCGATTTCGACCCCCTTTCCACCAATTTCCGACCTCAAAACCCTAGTCAACACCTAATAGCTACGACCAACCCACCACCTAATCGCTACCACCGCACCGCACACCACAGCCGCACCGATTTCTACCCCTTTCCACCAATTTCCGACCTCAAAACCCTAGCCACCACCTAACAGCTACGACCAACCCCACCACCATCCAAACCCAGACCAGAAACAACCGCCACCCAGACGCGAAACCACCCCGACTCAAAACCACCACCACCCAAACCCAGACGCGAAACCACCCCGACTCAAAACCACCACCACCCACCAGAAACCACGCCAGCCAGACGCGAAACCATCGCGACTCGAATCCACCACCACCCAGACGCGAAACCCACACGAAATTCCGACCAACCGAGGTAGTTGATTTCGTTGCTGGTTGGTTGACATGGAAGATCGGGGAAGATGAAGAAGAAACGTCAAAAATGTGGGCCCTACTAACGGATTCATGGACGGAATCTGGTAGTTGGTGGTAAAATCGATTTTTTGGAAATTTTGGTGGTGGTAAAGTAAATCTTTTTTTTTTGGAGGTGGTAATTTAATTAAGTGGTTATTTGAAGGTGGTAAAAATCAAAATTTCTATTTTTTTATTTGAAAAAATAACTCCTACTCCGTTTTCGGTGTTCTTGTTGAGCTTAGCAAGCAGGAAGAAAAAGAGTGAGAAATCCAACCAAATTCTTCTCTTTCCCCCTAAAAATTCTTCTCTCATCTCGACACAATCAAATCAAAAATCCAAATTCTATATTTAAGTAATTTATCGTCAATCTATTTAATTCGATATCAAATCATGTATGAACCCTAAAAAAAAGTTGCAGAAATTTCCACAAAAATGGCGGTCACTGAAGCAGAATCATCATCATCTTCAACACCAGCATCAAATTCTGAATTTCAGCCTTCTAATGGCGCTCACTACCTTGCTAAATGCGTTCTTCCGGGCTCCGTTGTTCTTCAAGTTGTTCAAGGCCATATTCGTTCTCCTTCTTCCAATGACATCGTTTTTGGCAAGGTCTTATTTAATCAAATTCAATCAAGCTTTGATATGATTTTAGTTTTTAGTGTATTTTTATTCCTGTTATTGTTTTTGATCATAATTTCTATTCGTTTTTGTTCAGTTTTTATTGGGGTTGAGTTCAATATTTTGAATTGATTTCTGTGATTGTTGTTACTAGGTTTCAATACTAACAATGGTTGGTTTGTGACATATCTAGTGTTAATTGTATCGATTACGAAAACCGTGTTATTGTCTGTTTAAAGTTCTTTGTATTGGACTATTGGTGATGAAAATGAGCCAGTGTTTAAAAATTCAGGGGGGAAAACTCCCAAATTTATGCAATCTTTACTCACTGGCATCATGAAACACAATTATTTTTCTTTTGTTGATAATTGAAATCTCTACCATTTCGTTTGTTTCGGTTGCCCTTAATCGTATTTTTTTTTTCGTGCTGTGTACTTAAATGGCAATGAGGGGATTTTGCTTAACAGTTATCTGATTTTCTTATTTGCTACTGATATCAATCATTGTGAAATGAGGTTGTGTTTTTTTTTTTTTTTTTCTTTTTTTCATTAGGCTGTTTGTTTCTATACTACGGTCTTTTTTGTTTATTTGTCTCAAATGTAGTGGTCATCTGCAAAAATTCCGTCTTCATGCATATTCCGTATGATTCTATTTTGAGTTGCTCACAAGTCAGAGTAAGGTGTTATCATGTAGAAATGAAGCAATTGTGTCTTATGCATATCTTTAAATTGAGTAAGAATAGCCACTTGGTAGTCGATTCAGAATATGTCTAAATGGGTTGTATCGTGCAGGAGACATCTATTGAGTTGGTAGAAATGAGTGAGGATGGCGTGGTACAATCTATCTGCGAGCAACCAGTATTTGGTATAATAAAAGACATGGCTATTCTACCCAGGACTAAGAAACTTCGTACACATAACTCACAGGTTTTACATGATATAAGGAACCCTCATCTTAATGGCTACATCTCTTTTTCTTGCGGGGTAATTGAATGCATATTTTATTCCTTCTGCAGGTTATGGGGAAAGACATGTTGCTTATCATTTCCGATTCTGGAAAGCTCTCTTTCCTAACATTTTGTAATGAAATGCACAGGTTCTACTCTCATCTAGAGCCTTCCTATATGGGTTCTCCTCTGCTTTTTAATAGTAAAATTGGATGTATTTATGGTTTCTCATTGTTGTGAACTAATTATGGTTTAGTTGGTGACTTATATTTGTGCTTCCGCTGACTGATTAGGTTCTTTCCAGTGACTCATGTTCAACTTTCAATCCCTGGCAACTCAAGACACCAGATTGGTAGAATGCTTGCTGTTGATGCCTTGTAAGTATTTTCTTTGGAGTTATTGCAATGTAATTTTGCCACCTCTTCATATCCATATTTGGAGACTATATCCAGGCCATGCTTTGCCCTGATGCAAATGTAGGGTGCCTCATCAATAAATAGATTCTTGCTACACTCTTAACTGTTTAAATTAGCGTGATGGATTCAATGCTGGATCGTTGGTCAATTAATAGCAGAGGACTTTTCTGGTTTCCATTTATCCATGAGTGGTGCACTAGAAGGATTATTTAGTAAATGCATCTCTACTCACCGGTATCACAAATGACACGAGAGTCCTAGTTTGAGACTTTGAGTGTTGGATGCCTAGATGTTTGATCTGGTTAACCTGACTAATACATTGGCACACTATAATCTTGTGTGCGTGTTGTGTGTGTGACCATGTGTCAATTTCCTGGTTGTAATTTTAATTTTGTGTTCCATGAACTTGATATTGTGCTTAAATTTCTCTTCCTAATTTTGCTTCTCTTTCAATCTTTGTTCACATTCTTCCTCCCTAATTCACTACCCTCTTCTTTCTATTGCTTTCCATCAATTTCTTGTTTTTGATTGTGTTTGTGTGTTTAATTGTGCTATTTGTTCCAGAGGGTGTTACATTGCCGTTAGTGCTTATGAAGAACGTGTTGCTCTTTTTTCTGTTTCACAATCAAGCGATGTTGATATGATTGACAAGGTATTAGAGTTATTTGAGTTTACTATATGCAAATGATCCTTGATCCTGGAATGTACTGCAAGTTTATTCTGCTATATTCAAGTATATTCTGTTTGGGGTTTTCTTATGAAGTTGAAATATTCCTTTGCTTTGTTCTAGCGAATAAGTTATCCTCCTGAACCCGAGGATGATTTGATTGACATAGAACTCCAGCAAACCAGCCAGTCTATCTTGGTTAATTCATTGCCTGTAGAGGAAATAAGTGTAGAGTCTGCTCCAACACCTCCAATATCATATATAAATGGAACTATTTGGAGCATGTGCTTTATTTCAAAGCATTCTGACCAATTGAGCAAGGAGCACAATCCTGTACTAGCAATTCTTGTCACCAGGTATGATGATAAAAAATTCCAAATAAGAAAACATTGCTGTTTTTTTGTCTATGCTCATGGATCTTGTTATTTGATTACTAGTGAGATGACTAAGGTCATTTTTTATATGTGCCTCAAATTTAAAGAAAGATAATAATCTGCAGGAAGGAATCATCCTTGAATGAGCTGCTTCTTTTGGGTTGGGATGTCAGAGAGAATACAATACATATTCTTTCTAGGTTTGTGGAAAGTGGACCCTTAGCTCGTACTATTGCTGAAGTTCATGGATCTCCGGGACTTGCATTATTATTTAGGGTTGGTGATATCTTACTTATGGATCTTAGTGATGCTTGTAATCCTTTTTGTGTGCAAAGAACAGACCTGAGTACTCCAATCAACCCAAGTGAGGAGAAGAGTTGTATGGAAGACCCTTTCAAGATGCAGGATGGTGACGATGAAGGTTTCATTGCTGCTCGTGCTTTGCTAGAGTTGCAGGATTATGGGATGGATTTTAATAAGGGTAATGATCCCATGAGCATTGATGCGGATGTGCACAGTGCTAAATCTGTACCTATGTTTGTAAGTTCATGGAGTTGGGAACCAGGAACAAATACGAAACCAAGGATGATATTTTCGGTGGATACAGGGGAATATTTTTATATTGAAATCACTTTTGGCCCTGATGGTCCTGAGGTCTTGTTATCTCATTGTCTTTTTGTTGGTCTTCCCAGTATAGCATTATTATGGACCACTGGTGGCTATTTGGCAGCAATTGTGGAGATGGACGATGGCATGGTCCTAAAATTGGCAGATGTTGGTGAAATGAAAGATGAATATCTGGCTTATGTAGGTCCGATTCAAAATATTGCTCCCATCCTAGACATGTCAGTCATGGATTATCACGATGAAAAGCAGGATCAAATGTTTGCTTGCTGTGGAGTGGCTCCTGAAGGATCATTGAGGATAATCAGAAATGGTGCAAGTCTGGAAAGATTAGTAAGGACAGCTCCTATATATGAAGGAATAACTGCTATATGGACTGTTAAGATGAGAATAAAAGATTCAAATCACTCTTTTCTTGTGCTTTCTTTTGTTGAGGAAACCAGGGTGTTGTCAGTTGGTGTAAGCTTCACTGATGTAACAGAGTCAGTTGGTTTTCAGCCTGATGTCTGTACATTAGCATGTGGTCTTGTTGTTGATAATGTATTGGTTCAGATTGATCAAAATTATGTCAGACTTTGCTTGCCTACTTCAGTTGCTCATCCAGATGGTATTCCGATGTCTTCACCAACATGTACTTCCTGGTCTCCTGATAAAGTTGGTATTAGCTTGGGAGCTGTTGGACACAACATGATAATTGTTGCTACTGCAAATCCTTGTTTCCTTATAATTCTTGGTGTTAAATTGCTATCATTGTATGACTATGAAATATATGAGATGCAACATGTTAGACTTCAAAGTGAATTGTCTTGCATATCTATTCCACAAATGCACAGTATAAGAAGAGATTCTGGTCCTATCCCAGTTGGATTTGATATCGGTAATACATTTGTGATTGGTACACACAAGCCATCTGTGGAAATTCTATCTTATGTGCATGGTCAAGGAATACGAGTTCTTGCCGCTGGAATGATATCATTGACAAACATGACTGGTACCGCTATCAGTGGGTGTATTCCGCAGGATGTAAGGCTTGTGCTGGTAGATAGGCTGTATATTCTCTCTGGGTTAAGAAATGGAATGTTGTTACGCTTTGAGTGGCCTACAACATCCTGGGAATCTGATCTACCCTGTTATAGGACTACTTTGTGTTCAAAATCTGGTTTGTTAAAGGCATCAGCTCCAGCCATTCTTGGTCCACAGCTTAGTGGTGTCAACTCCTATGAAAGGCCAAAGGATAATGATCCTGTTCATCTCCTATTAATTGCTATTCGTCGGATTGGTATTACCCCTGTTTTCCTTGTTCCTCTCAGCGAGTCATTAGATGCTGATGTTATTGCTCTCAGCGACAGGCCTTGGTTAGTCCAAGCTGCTAGGCACAGCCTTTCATACATTTCAATCTCGTTTGAACCTTCAACTTATGTGACTCCTGTATGCTCAGCTGAATGTCCAAAGGGACTTCTATTTGTAGCAGAGAACTGTCTACATCTGGTGAGTGTTTGTTTCTGTAGTATATTGGATCAACGGGGTTAGGGCTGTTATTAGATTTTTTTACCCTTTATAGTCCATATGCTGGGTTAATTAAGTCAGATTGATTTTCTTGGTAGCTAATTCATTCCTACATGGGGCTGTGTTAAAGAGTGTAGCTGTCAATGAATAAAGAGTTTGATAGGAACACTTGTGATAAGGACACAAGGATCCTCATAATGAAAGCCAACTGTCATTTACCTCAAACAAATTAAAACCTCTGTTTATATCACTGAAAATCTTTCTTCATTCAGTCTGGTGATTAGGCGGTTAAAGCTGATCTTTAGACCTATGTCTAAAATATCCTTACTTAAAGATACATGGACATTTGTTTCTTCTGACATTGCTCGGTTGTCTATTTAATTATAGGACCTCATACCTATATTGGTCCAACATTAAATTTTTTTATTTTATTTTTTTATTTTTTTTTATTTTTTATAATAGTAGTATTTTTGCTATTAGACACATCTTTTGCTGGTGATAACTAATAATATAGAAACAACTTGATGTTGTAGGTAGAGATGGTGCATAGTAAGAGGCTTAATGTGCAGAAATTTCATCTTGGTGGAACTCCACGAAAGGTCTTGTATCATAGTGAGAGCAGGTTGCTGCTCGTTATGAGAACTGATTTGGATATCGATCCGTTTTCCTCTGATATTTGCTGTGTAGATCCCCTTAGTGGGTCTGTAGTCTCTGCTTTTAAGTTCGATGTGGGTGAAACTGGAAAATGCATGGAGTTTGTGCAGGTTGGGAATCAGCAGGTACTGTTGGTTGGAACCAGTTTATCTTCTGGGCCAGCTATAATGCCTAGTGGAGAAGCTGAAAGGTTAGTCGTATCTTGGATTCCCTTATCTTCTGACCTTTTTTTTTTTTTTTTTTTTTTTTTTTGGCTCTTTAAGTTCAGCTTTAAAACTGTACTTGGATCTGGTTTGAGATAAATTGCCCTTTTGCATTTCCGTTCTTATGACTTTCGAGTTAATAGTTTAATAGTCCTGTTTATGTGTGCATCCTAACTGGACATAACTTTGGCAGTACAAAGGGCCGATTAATTATGTTCCGCCTAGAGCACTCGCACAATTCGGATAGTGGGTCAATGACAATGCGTTTGAAATCGAGTTCATCTACGCAACATATTTCGCCAGTTTGTGAAGCTGCTGGATACACTGCTGAAAGGATGTCTAATAGCAGCCGTTGCAGTAGCCCAGAAGATAATAGCTGTGATGAAGTGAAGCTTGAAGATTCTGAAGCTTGGCAACTAGAATTTCTTAGTGCAATTACTTGGCCTGGAGTGGTGCTTGCAATATGTCCTTACCTTGATGAGTACTTCTTAGCTTCTTCTGGCAACGCTGTAAATTGTTATCCTTCCTCTTATCCTGATGATTATTAGATGTACTTGATGATGTTGAGTATCCAATCTTCTTTTTATTTTTCAGTTCTATGTATGCGGCTTTCAAAATGATAATCCCAAGAGACTTAAAAGGTATGCTGTTGAACGAACGCGGTTTATGATAGTCTCATTGACAGCTTACTTCACAAGGATTGCTGTTGGTGACTGTCGTGATGGTGTGCTATTTTATGATTATCATGAGGTAAATACTGCTGGCTTCTTCCAGTAAATTCTCCATTGTATGTTTGTGATTAGTGATAACCTTTTCTTTCTTTTTTTATTTTTTCCCTTTTCTTTTGGGTATGAAAAATTGATTCTCAACATTATTTTGGTAACTGTTCTATGAATGTGCTAACACTTGTCTCCGTGACCAAAAACACAAGACTGCAAAGAAACTGGAGCAGATCTATTGTGATCCTGGTCAGAGGTTAGTTGCTGATTGTCTCCTTACTGATACCAGCACTGCCTTTGTTTCGGATCGTAAGGGAAGCATTGCTGTTCTAACATCCTCAACTCATTTTGAAGGTTAGATTTATTTTTTCATTATTGTAGGCAATAAGCTTAATTTTTTAAATCTAGCTAATCAGGTAGGGGTTTTTCTTCCTATAATGTATCTTGTTTTTGGAGATGACATGTTTAGGATCATTAACATCGTGTTTCCTCTAATGCCCCAGACAATGCGAGTCCTGAATGCAACCTAACAGTGAGCTGTTCATATTATACAGGCGAGATTGCAATGAGCATCAAGAAGGTAAGTCAAAGGCTGTTTTTAGTATTTGTTATTATTCCTTGCATTACTCCGGAGACTATACTTTTTACAGAAGTTTCACCTATAAATTTTAAACATAGTTCAATCTGTAAAAGTGTATAGTGTACTTTTTTATTTTTATGAAGTATCGTATTCTATTTTTTATTGAAGTTTTGGGCTGGTAGTTGAGGAGAAATTCCGACCGCAGTAAATTTATTTTTATATGTATATCCATTTAGATTGGCCTAAAAATTAAATTTCCTTTTTGTGATGCTTGGACTTAGCACTTGCCCCTGTCATATTGTGAAGTACTGACACTAGGGAACCTTCATACTATGTGAACTGCTGACACAATGGTACCTGCATACTATGTAATTTTATAATTGTTTTGTGGAGACAAAGTTTTGATTACTTTTATGTAGAAATAAGGAAAATTGATGTTTGAAAATTACACGTTGAGCCAAATCTAATGAGACCCCCACATGATAATGTTTTCCCTAAAAATTAGTTTTAAATAATGGTCAAAGCTTAGACTAGGAGATAAGACCAAGAAGATTCATATCAGAATCGACCAGGCCTTAATAAATTTATGCCAGATTACCTTATTTCAGATACCTCAAGTACCTTAAAGGTGTATAACCTTATTTTAGATACCTACCCTTAAAGGTGTATAACCTTATCTGTAGAAGAAAAAATATTGCAGTCGTGCTATCTTGGTCCTCAAGACATTAGGGCTGATTAGTACTTTAGCTCTCACGGATACTAACCCTAGGGCAGCAAAACTGGATCATCGTTTGGAGCTGAGCTACTCACATGAGGCTTTACTTTCATATAATTGTTTATTTTAACATGTGTATTGAGCTTTATTGTAAATAAATAAAAAATCAAAACAGTATTATTTTGATTTATTCTTTAATTCTCTTTTATATCTATACTTTTTAAATTTATCTTAGTATTTACTCTTATTATTTTATCCCACATTCCCATTAGTGTTTTATGAATTGTATTGATTTCCTTTGCTAAAGTTTTCTCAAACCTTGTATGTTTTTTTTTACTCCAACGTTTTAACCACTCTTTTAAAACTTTCTTGAATTTTATTCTTGGTTCTCTTTTAAAACTCCCTTAATATTTTCTTGGATGCTCTTTCTTTTTCTCACTTTACTCACCTGTTTACAAACTCTTTCAACTGATTATCTTGTTATGCCCCTTTCTTTTATATGGTACAATTCCTTATGACGATTCATGTTAGCCAACTTCAAATCATTTTGGATCATCATGGAAAATCCAAAACATATGTACTTGGAAGATGATTAACAAAAGAAACAAAAAAACCACTGTTTGTCCTGATTAAGGAAAATTTTGATGATGTGAAACCAAAGGATGGTATCAAAGTGCATAAAATGCTCACTCCTTCTCCGGTTATTCTCCTTTAATTAGTCTGGCTTAACAAATTTTTTAGACTGTTTTACAAGGTTAAAGAGTTAAGCCAAGTACGGTAAGTTTGCATGATTTCAACCTCCTAACCAGTCAGCATCCGGCGCAAGTCCTTCTCCCAACACTATACTGCCTCCTCTAAGTCAAGAAGAGATAGGATTTTCATATCTCTATCAGCAATTACTGATGAAAAAAAGAAATCTGGAAGAAGATTTAGAAGAAAGCTATGTTTGAAAAGAAAAGGAAGAAGGAGTGGGAAACACATGATCTACTATTATAGAGAAAGAGAGGGAGAAAAGAAAATGTAGAGAGAAAATAGTCAATACCTTTGGCAAGTTGATGAGATGGATTAAAGACTGGAAAGCTTCCAAGATGTGCAAGAAGGGAAGCCTTGCACTTGGTTGAGGCATCCTGTGGTGTGTGCCTCTTGATCTGCGTTGTCTGGAGACTACTCAGATGCTCTTTTGTTGGCACCTTGCAGTGCCTTGTGCTTTAGTGTATCTCAGTTGTGTTTTTTGCCGGGAAGCTCCTTGTAGTGAACCAACCTAGGGGATGGGCATACGGGTAGTCTAATATTGTTAGTACTTAGATGTCATCAAATTATTATAAGTATAAATAAGGGAGAATATGCAATGAACCGAGAGACGCCACCTGTGCACATGAGACAAAAGCTCAGTCTAGAATCATCCTAGGATTGAAACCATGTATGTAAATAGTGAGAGAGAAAAACTGATTAGGAAGGTAATTGTTGTTTAAAGTCATCACCTTGGTGAATGGTTGCTTTTCACTAATTTGGAGAGTGGTACCTAAAGCTACTAGTTTGTTAAAAGAAACTTAGTCTATTAATGAAAGATTCAATCTTTCTCTCTATTTTCTGTCTTCTTTGTGTGAGCCAAATAAGTCGGTCATGAATCCATAACAAAGGAGTAACATTGGCTCTATTCTCATTAGCTTATTTTTGCTGAACTTATCTTTGTTAAATTAAAACTTACATTTACTTATATTTAGTGGTAATGGAGCAAATAGAGTTAACAAATTTAGTGGTGATGAAGGGAAACTAGTGTATGCAGCAATTCATTTATTCTATGCAGTTGGGCCGCTATGACTCTTATGTTTGTCTCATCTTTAGAGAGAATGGTTTGGCGTTATTTGAAAAATGGCATTTCTAGGTTTAAGGCTGCACATCTGAATTGTTATTTTCATGTAATTACTATGTCTTTTCTTCTTTATAGATTGTTTAATGGAAACTATTTAGGCATTGAAAATTGCATATACTCTATCATGTTGTCACTATTGATATTGTGTGCCTCTTGGGCGTTGCTGTGAAGTTTTCTTGAATGCTATGTGATTTTCATTGTCACTTTTAGTGCATGGCATTCTACCATGTTGTCACTATTGATATTGTGTGCCTCTTGGACATTGCTGTGATATTTTTCTCTAATGCTATGTGATTTTCATTTTGTCACTCTTAATACATGGCATTCTATCATATTGCTGTATGTGTTCGTGTAGGGATCATTCTCTTATAAAATGCCTGCTGAAGATGGATTTAAAGGGTGTGACGGTGGTAATAGTGTTGTTGATTTGTCGCGCAATGGTATCATGGCCAGTACTCTACTTGGAAGCATTTTAATTTTCATCCCTATATCCAGGTACCTTTCTTTTGAATCTGGAACTATATTGTTTTCAAAACTATTTGATTAGTAGTGAACTTTACTGCCTCTTTGAAAAATTTATTATAGAGGAGACAAATGTAAAGTTTACCAAGCTATTATCCTCTAACCTTACATAAATATCTCATTTACCATTTTAACAGATGAATTGCTTATTTATTTGTATTATCATTAAATTAGCTAATAATTCCCTCCCAGTTAAAATGACTGGCAGATTTATAAGTTGTAACAGGATATACTATATAGAGCATACACTTTGTAATGGACTGATTATCTAGCTTTGAAATTCAGATTTAACAATGCAAGTATTTATAAAAATAGAAGTTTGAATATCGAATGAAAATTGCAAGGTATACAAAAGATAGGTTAATAGCTTAAGGCTATCACTCTCTGACAATGGCTTGAGGCCATTACACTCTTAAAAATCTAAGTATATTTTCAATCTAGATGGTAACTAGGGCTATTCTAAACAATTACGAGGCTCCGTGCAAATTTGATAATTGAGCCTTAAAAATCTTACTCCATACTAAAATGGCTACGTTCATGAGTCTGCCTAGAGCCGTAGAGGAGGCCTAGCAAACTACTGCTAAAGGATGCTCAGAAGCGAAATGTTCCAAATGTTCCTGGAACTTTAAATTATATATTGAGTATTAAAATAAGACATGTGTTACACTGTTACATATATTTCCTCTGTATTTTCAGATGGAACACAATAAAATAGGGTAAAATAAATCAAATAAAATGAGATGGAAGAGCAAATTTTATTTATTTATTTATTTTTAAGACAAAAAAAGGAATTTAGGTAAAAGAAAATTTATGAATACGAAGGATATGGGAAGAGGAAGGTGCAGACAAGAGAAATGATATGAATTAGCGAATCCTAAAAACGTAAGGTGAAAACATAAAAAGGAAGTAGCAAAGTATAATACTAAATCTTATAAATTAAAAAATAAATTGCAAAGCATGTATATTAGGATTTGATCCTGCTACTTGTGGTAATATGGGTTATCTTATCTTGCTAACAAACAACCATGGAGTCATTGCTAATAGTTTACGTATTATTTTATCGTGAACCTTCATATGTTGTGTTTGGTTTGTTTTCCAAAAACATGGGCCTTTTGAAATCGGGGGCCTTATTTCGTTGCACAACTTGCGTAGGGTATTAGCCAGCGCGCCCTGATGGTAGCTGCTTTTAAACCGTCGAACCCTGCAAAGTGATGTACTTCATTACATAGTAGCAAGGAAGGTATCCCTTATTGAAATCCCAATTTGAGACACTAAGCAGTCTGTGGAATTGAAGGGAAAAAGAAACCTGTTTTGTCTCAGCTGATTTCTTTTGTTTAATCTCTTGATTGTCTTCATTTATTTGACAATTTAGCAAATTTATGTACCTGTTACTTATAAATAATGTTATTGAAGGTGTTCAAAGGCCGGTTTAGAGGAACAACTCCATGAAATTGTTGTACTTCTTCAGTTCTGTGGGTGTTCTTTGTAGTTCAGTGAGTTAATCTGGTTTTAGTATGTCATTTATGCTCTCTTTGATATTGCCACAGGGAGGAATATGAGCTTTTGAAGCCTGTACAAGCCAGACTTGCAGTTCATCCTCTTACTGCTCCTATACTTGGGAACAATCATAGCGAGTTTCGTAGTCGTGAGAACCAGGTATAAAAATCAGGATATTTCTTTTTCGTGTTTGATTTGGTCTATTAAAGGGTCTTCTCATTAACTTATTTTGACATCTTAATGTTTTAAGTTAAACTTTTATGGATTTTATTGAACTTGTGTGTGTAAATTTATAGCCTTAACTATATCTGGTGAAATGAGGAAAACACACCGTAAGTTCATTCTCACACGTTTAGCAATTATTTGTCATTTTAGTATCTAGCACTGAACCTTATCATACTCTTCTAAGACACTACTTATAAAAACAATTACCTGATGTAACCTTAATACAAACCGGCATTTATAAATATATAATATACAAATATAAACAGATGCACAGGGTAGTAGAATGGGAGTGTAAGATACCTCTAGAGTCAATTGTATCAAAGGGTATTTTTTTGTTCATTAGGAGCTCTCTTCAAATGAGCATAAAAGTCCGAATGAGTAAAAAGTTATCAAGTGAAAAGAAACGTTGGGTTTCATTAGAGAATTGTTATTTTCGTAATCCCCTTTATGTTGTTTGTATAAAGTATATATATGAAAAATGGATTTAATTACAAATTTCATGCTCTTTTCATTACTAAATCACATTTAAAATTTTGGATTGTGTGAAAGAAGTTATGTTTAAATTACATATTATAACCATCATAGCCTTAAGGAAGTTTTCTGTTAGATGAATTGCAAGTTTCTAACATGAACGGCGAAGTCATATAAATATAGATGGAATCACCAAGTTACCTTATAAACTATACCGCAGACATTCCAGTCCAATTGTCCTGTCATGACATCCCATTTTTGTAAGAGCACAGCTACTTATATTAGTAAGAGAGAGGGTATTCTGGTGACTTTAATTGGCCCACACCCAACCCTCTATCTATTTAGACATTTAAAACTTAGATAAGAGTTTTTTTTTTGTTTTTTTTTTGTTTTTTTTTTTGCAATTTGCTCTGTTGGTTACTTTTTTCCTCACTTGATCAGGTTGTGGTGCCTACAATGCTTGATGGAGACATGTTGGCTCAGTTTTTGGAGCTTACAAGCATCCAACAAGAAGCTGTGTTGGGATTACCTTGTGCAACTGCCGAAGTGTCATCAAGCTCCAGATCACCTCATTCACCTGTATCAGTTGACCAGGTGGTGCAACTCCTTGAACGAGTTCACAATGTACTTAACTGAATACTTGTTAATCTGCATTTATAAGGTCTCAGTCTGGAACATCAATCTGCTCAGTTGGTCCAGCTTCTGTATATATGAAGCTGCATTGCATCATATATTACTGAAGGATTGTACTGCTGAACAGCAGCAATGCTGTTAAAATTGTGGCACAAATTTTGCAAGTTGAAGCAAAATCTCAAATTATTCATCATAGTCCTATGACTTCTTTCCGGAGCTGCAATTGGATGTTCATTGGCTCTCTGAATTCTGCTTCGTCTGCAGAAAAGATAATGCATCACCATTCTGAGCGAGTGGTTCTTGGGCAGATTTTTTATATACCTTTTTTTCAACTAGCTAGTGGATAGTATATGATGTATATCATGTGGAAATTCGTGTACAGAATATGTAAAATAAACTTATTCCCTATCTGATGAAATAGATGAATTTCTTGGCCTGGTGATATTCATTGAATCTAATTGAGCTGCTGTTTTATTACCTTTTAGGTTGTACTGATGTGAAGTGACTTTTTCGAAAACAGAAGGAAGAAAAAAAGCCTCCAAAGCAAACTTGAAATAGTCGCACCATTTTAAAACCACTCTCCATCAAAAAACAGGAATGAGGTTGAGGTTGAGGTTGAGGAGGTGATGAGGTAGTGACATTGCTCCCTCGTATCTCTAAGGTCTAGGGATCAAATCTCATGGGACTCATTTGAGGGATTTCTCTTATCTCTCCCTCAAATGAGCCCCGTTCTTCTTACCGTTATATATAAAAATAATAAAATCAAGAAACAGTTTATAGAATGTTAAAAGTATTACTCTACCCTCACAAGATCATCACCAATCACTAAAAAGGGGGATTAAACTAGGAGAGGTGGTAAGGATTTTAACGTTTTTTTTTTTTTTTTTTTTTTTTAAATACCGAGTAAATCACCTCTTACATAACTCAAAATACAAGAACATATTTGAATTTTTCCAGACAATATAAATTATTTTGACACCCTTCCATGACCAGCACCAAGTACATTAGCAACCACTCTACACACAGCTAAAATTATTATCTCTGCTCTAAAGATAGGTATCTGATGTGTTTATAGACAAGGTTCATACAACAATGATATTATGCCTTAGCATTATCTACACAAAGAACCAAATACTCACTGCGTTGACTATTAGTCTATTGCCTTCTTACTTATTGATAATGCTAAGAACCAAATGCTTTATTGCGTTGACTATTAGTCTCTTGCCTGATTTGATTGTGCTAAGGAAACGCAGGAAAATGGAATGACAAATGTTACTTTGATACTTGGTGTTAAAGCTCGTCCTTGACTTACGTTTTGTATGATTTGTTACTTTGTGAATTTGAAGTTGTAAGCTCAGATGCCAGTGTTACATACTTCGCTGTTTTTGCTTTTAATCACTTTGTGCTGTCTTTCTAAGTTCCATGTTTAAGACTCATTTTGTATGCCACATTTCAACAATTTATCCCTTGATAGTTAACTACGTGACTGCTAATAATTTTGTAGATTTGCTACATTTTTTTTAATTTTGATTTAATAAGGTCGTTTTTATGTGTTCTTTTGCTATTATATAGGTGTTAATTTGTTGGATTTTAGGAGTTTGTTCAATTAATAAGCTATGTGTTACTTGTTTTTGCTTTTAATTATCACAAACTATTGCGTCAGTCCAGTATGGCCAGATGTTTCGTGGGGTTTTTGCTTTATACCAATGATTGCTCCCATCGGCGGCGTTGTTATTGGCGGTGGTGTCGTCGATGATGAGAAACTCGTTGATCGTTGATTATATTTGCCCATGACTAATGCTTGAATTGGCTTAATAATTGCTTGAAATTGTCGGATATTTCGAAAAATGCCAAAAAAAAAAAAATAGATTTGGGGTTTTCTTTTGTGATGTATAATTGTTGAAATTGATTGTCCAATGTGATTGTATGTTGAATTGTGAGCGTTTTGATAACAAGTGCATGTATTTTGGTTTGGAAATGAGCGTGCTATGTTATACCCATGAGCTAAGTACGGGACCTTTAATGGTGGTTCCGCCATTGCTGACCTTCAATGGTTGGAAGACGAAATTCAATGCCAAATTGACGAGAAATCAAAATCAAATATACTTTGTATAATTTTTTGTTGTACTGCCACAACCCACAAGTTACTCCTCCGTATAATCTTTATTTGTATCTAAAAAAAAAAAATTAAAGACCACCTACTTTTTAAAATAATTTAGTTGTAATGTAAAGTAACATCTGTACATTTACTGAGTAAATCTAATCATCATATCATATAACTAATATATAAGGTAAAAACTAATATAAACCCGATCCACATTAATATTACTGTGGACCGAGCTTCCCACGTGACTATCACAGATTCTTTTTTGGGAAGCTTCCTTTTAATTTGCTCTCTCCTCCTGACATATCATTTTCTCTCTCTTTTTCTTCTTTTTCTCTCTCCTCCTTTGATGTTCTTCTCTGTACACTTCAACAATGGTGAAGGCGAGAGAAGGAAGTTCATTAAAATCAACAATGGTGAAGGCGATACGATCATCAAATTGGAGTAAACGAAGAGGATTACGATCATCAGTTGGGCGGCCTTGCAAAGGTATTTAATTAGGTTTTCGATTAATTAGTTCAATTTTTGTGTAAATCATCCGATTCTGTTTAATTTAACTTTAGATTTTCAATTTTAGTGTTTAAATTTCATTTTTAAGAGGTATTTTAGTATTTGATTTGATTTTTAGGGATTAGTTTTTACAATAGCTTAATTCTACTGGTTTTCCTCTCTCCTGAGTTCGTTGTTCGTAGTTTTAGTGTATTGATTTTAGTCGAAAAGCTTTAGAAATTGCAGAATGTGTGCTTATGCGTGCAAATATAAGAAAACAGTTACTGGACGAAATATTAAATAATATATAAGATATCAATTGTGATTATATCAATATAAATATGATTATAAGTTTCAGTTGTGATTATATCAATATAAAAGTGACTATATGAATATAATAAATATGATTAAAAATTAAAAATTAGATTATATCAATATCAAAATGATTATAAGATTTCAATTGTGATTATATCAATATAAATATGATTATAAGATATCAATGGTGATTATATCAATATAAAAGTGACTATATCAATATAAATATGATTATAAGATATCAGTTGTGATTATATCACATCTTTCATTAATAATAATGATCCTCATATTTATTTTGTATGTTTCATTTACAGAACCAAATCATGATATACTATAATGATGTTTCTTGTGATATAGTCATGTTTTTTTCTAATATAATGATATTTCTTGTGATATAATAATGTTTTACCATTATTAACATGCTTTTTGTGATATAATCATGTTTTATTTAATATAATGATATTTCTTGTGATATAGTCATGTTTTACACCTTTTAGGTTATACTTGTGTTTTATCTAATATAATGATATTTCTTGTGACATAGTCATGTTTTACAACTTATATGTTACCTCTTTTTTTTTTTTTTTTTTTTTTTTTTTTTTTTTTTTTTCAAAAATTTAATGCTCAATGGTTGATCATGAAGAGGGATGTAGAAGTTGTTGTTGAATATCACCTTGAGGAATTAAAAAAATTGAAAAAAAAAATGATTGAAAATTTGGTGCATGATTCTTCCTCTATTACTTCTGCTCTTGAACCATCCCAGAGAGATTTAGATCTCATGTCAACTACTCTATTCCAAAAATTTATTGATGAAATTGTTATGATTTCAACACTTGTTAGTGATTTGCCTGGTGGTTGGGATGATCTTTCTGATGTTAGAGGTTTCTACAAGGACGGTAGTTTGTCATCTGCAGCAAACAACATAATAAGTAATGTTGTTCATAATATAATGGGTAATGAACAAAATCTTTGTGGGAAACCTGGAACATGTTGGTTTGTTTTCCAGGAGGTTCTAAAAAATAATCAATCAAAGTGCAGTCTTGATTTTGGTGAACTAAATGTTGGGGAGAGTGGTGTTGTGTTTGTTTCTGATTTTATGGTTAAGCATGCTGAGGTTATGAAGGAAATGGATTTGTTTGTTCAAGAAATTGTTGATTATTGTTTTATCAATGAACCTCCTTTCAACCTCAAGTAAGTTGATTTTAAAAATATAATTATTTCTATATCTATTGCTTTTGGAATTCTAATTTTTAATTAATTACTTTTATCTGTTTAGTGAAGAAATTTTCAAGACAAGTGATTTACACTGTGTTTCAAGAGAAGAATTTTGGACAATTGGATCTGAATCAAAAATTAGTGAAGCTATTGTTGATTGTTGGGCATTCTTGCTCAATGAAAATGAAAGAAAAGCCGATCATAATCCTAAGAAGTTTTTCCTTGGATCTTCTCTAAATGTACGAATATACAATATTTTTTTTTCACTAGCTTTTCTATCTTTTTATACAAAGTTTTAATTTTCTTTTCTTTTTGCAGGAAATTTTGATGAAAATTTGTGAAGATAAAAATGATGTCAGTTTGCAAGATCAGTTTTCAAATTCCTTGAACCAAATAATAGAGTCTTACAATTATATTACTCTAGATGAAAATATTGAGATGGTAAATATATATTCTATCTTATATAGTCATATCATATAATGATGTTTGTGTATATATAATGATGTTTAATATCATATAATGATGTTTGTGTATATATAATGATGTTTAATATCATATAATGATGTTTGTGCTAAATATTTCAGGTATTTTTTCTAGTCTTATTTGAGCATCATTATTTTCTGTTTGTGCTGAATATTAAAGAGCAGAATATTCAATATCTTGACAACAAGCTATTGGTTGATCCTTCTTATAAGAAAAAAGTTGAAGAAATTGGATTAGTATTGGTATTTCATACTTCACTTTTGTTCTACAGTTTTTCAGGTTTTCATATTTGTATTTTATTCTTATTTTAAGAATTCTAATTATAATTTTATTTATTTTTTATTGTAGGCTGATTTAATTGGAAATTTTTCCGAGTTAATCCACTTAAATATCGTTTGTGATATTGGACTCTTTAAAATAAAAGAGATCGAAGGGAGGTGGAAGACCAATATGTTGTTTTTGGATTTGGATTGTGTTGATTTCGTGTTGACCAATATGCTGTTGTTTGACGGTTCAAATGTGTTTGAATGCCCTTTTTTGAATACTGTAAGTTCTATTACTTTATATCATTTTGTGTATGCTAGAAAAAAGTTAAGAGTTTAGGTAAGGAATAATGTTTTATATGATTATTAATTTTCAGGAGAATGATAGAAAGATATGCAGAGCTTGTATATGTGCAAGCCTTATTTTATCAGACATGAATAAAGTGAGATCTCAGCTGTTGGATAATGTGATTGCATTCAAAGATAAAAGGTCAAAGACTTTGCAGACAATTGAAGAGAACAGAAGGAAAAAGGCCCGAAAAGCAAAAAAGATGAAGAAACCCGAAGCCAAAAAACAAAAAATTGTAGCAGCTAAGAAGAAGAAATAGTTGTAGAGTTCTAAAAGTAGATAATATGGATTAATATTTTTTGTATGTAAAGACATTTACACGTGTAATGTCTAACAATGTCTAACAAGTAACAATGTAATGACATCTATATAAATCAATGAATCAAGTTCATAATAGTATTCTAGAGTTTAACAGCTTATATATGATTATATAATATTATATGTGATTATGAGTATACCAAATATGAGTATATAAGATGAAAAGCTAACAGATTCATAACATCCTCCTCTTTTGGGTTACATAATAGTAGTATTCAAGTGTTTAACAACTTATATATGATTATATAATATTATATGTGATTATGAGTATACCAAATATGAGTATATAAGATGAAAAACTAACAGATTCACAACACCTCCTCTTTTGGGTTACATAATTAAGTACATGGCTGACAGATATATTTGATTTACTTTTGCATGAGAAGATTTTTTATATGGTCAAGTTTGTATGAAATATTGACTCCTATTTTGGTCACTATAAAAATTGAAATCTGATTATACCCAATCAAAATGGACTATCAAGTCAAAACTAATTATACCAATACAAAACTGATTATGTCAAGTACAAACTGATTATGCCAAATCAAAACTGATTATGTTGTATATGAGATAGAAAAGTTATTAAACTAAAAATTCTAAACCAAATGAACTTTTGGAGTTGTGGAACCAAATTCTTTATGTCTTTTTTTCCCTCTTTTTGTTGGCTTTTTTGTATAAATCATAATTCCCCTTGATTCTCTTGTTATCTTTCCCTTTGGTAGTTGCTCTATCGGGATCCAATATAGTTAGTCCTGACGATGACAATGCTTGATGACTTCCATCAGTTGTTGTTGCTTTTGCTTGTTGTGCTGCTGCTTTTGCCTTTTCAACTGCTTTTGCTTCTTCAGCTGCTCTTCTTTGTTCATCTTCCTTGATTATTTTGTCAACAATAATGTTGGTCTTTTTGAAATTTTCTTCAAGAAATTTTCTTGCTTTTGCTATTTTATGGCTCTTCAAAACTAAATTGTATTGCCTGCAAGTGAAAATATAATAGCCAAGATAAAATTGATTATATCATTATAAATCAGATTATATTATGATAAATCAGATTATATTATTATAAATCAGACTATATCACTAAAAATTAGATTATATCTATATGTGAACATACTATTACCTTCTAATCCATGGTGTGTAGTTGTTGAGTTCTCCTCTTTCTCTTTTCTTTTTATCATGTCTCTCCCAAACTTCTTTTTTTGCAAACTTTGTTAACCTTGCAGATATATAGTGATCTGGAATTTTATTGAAAGAATATAGATGCAAAACTCTTATGCAATGGAAGCACAACCATCCCAATTCTTCAAAGTTCTTGCATTCACAATGAATATCTCCAGTTGAAAAGTTTAACCAAACTTTATGATATGAACCTGATATGCCATTGATGTAAACTCTATAAGTAATGTTGTTTTCTTTGGGATCTAGAAGTTCAACATTGCTTGCCATGGCATACTTGAATTCTTCCTCAAAGTCTCTGAATAGTGTATGTGTATATACCATTGAAGCATGAATCAATAATGGACTCATACAGAGGTCAGATTTAGGAATTCCTTTTGTACAGTTGAAGTCATCCATTTCTTCATCTTTTCTCCATCTCCTCACTGTTGCTTGAAATATAGAAAAGAATTCTGTCAAGCTTGTGGTTTTACTTGCATTGAATCCAATTGCATGGTTTGTACTCTCACTTCTTTGTGAGGATAAAATTCCAGCAGAGAAAAAATCCTTGCTAAGTGTTGTACACCACTTTTCCTTTAGTGAGTACAACCTATTGAACCAATCATCATTTTGAAGGTTATGCTTTGTGACCATTTTATTCCAATTCTCTTCAAATTCTTTCTCTGTTATGCAACCACTTAAGCATTTGTGGAACTCATTTTTGAAGTCTCTATCAGCCTTTAGTAATCCAAACCTTGTATTCGCATTTTGACTTAAGTGCCACAAACATAGCCTATGTCTTACTTCTGGAAAAATCTGTAAAGCATAGAAAATAAATCAACATTATAATTAGTATAAAAAAAATATGATTATACTACATACAATGTTATTATATTGCAAAAAAGAAGATTATACCAAGTGATTATAGCACAAAGGCTTTTGTAAAAAGAAAAAAAAAAGGATTATAGCACAAAAAAAAAAAAAATTATACTTGACAGAAGACATGTACCTCTTTGATTCCCGCAACAATTGCTGCATTTTGATCAGTAAATATACTAATGGGGCATTTTCCTTGCATTGACTTCTTGAAAGTTTTGAACACCCATTCAAAAGATTATTTAGTTTCATCACCAATAAAAGCACATGCAAACATTGTGTTCCTCCAATGATTATTGATTCCTACAAATGGAGCACAAATAAGGTTGTACTTATTTGTCCTATATGTAGTATCAAAGACCATAACATCTCCATAAATTTTATAGTCTTCAAGCATCATTGCATCCCTCCAAAATAAGCAACAAACTTTTCCATCTTCACTCAGTCTCACTCTAAAAAAGAACTCATTGTCCTCTGTCATTTGCTCATACAATTTGTCAACAACAGTTTGAGAATCACTTCCATTTATTGGCTTCATTTTGAGTTTGTAGCAGCAATTGAAATGATCTTTCTTTGAATGTCCCAATAAATCTTCTCCACCGGCTTCATAACTCATACAATTATATGAATCAATTGGTCTTAAACCACATTCTGTCATGGCTTGTATAACTTGTTCCTTGGGGGATGTCATTCGTCGCTCTGATCTATGTAGATAATTAAGTGACTGTCTTGTCAAAGGATGATTGTGATGCATCACATGACGTACTATTTCAAACTCTTTATTATCATTCATCTTTGCACGTATTGATGTTAAACAACCTGTTCTTGTTATCATAACTCTTCTTTGCCTTCTCTTATTTCCTTTTGTTGAAGTACTTTCTTCTGTCATGACTTCTTCTTCAACCTTTGTTTTTCCAGTGTTTCTTTTCCCTTCAGCAGAACACACGTAGTATTTCTCATTGACTATTTTGGTTCCCTATATTTGTCTATCTTTAGGCTTTCTCACACTAAACCCTACTAAAGCAGCATGTTGACAATATAGCTCATATATTTCCTTCAAAGTTTCTCTAGTTTCACCTAATAAACAACCACCAATGTCCTCATTGATTGCTGGTGATGTATGAGATTCTGATTGTACATAAAAAAAATGTCACTCTTACGATTTTAGTATGATAATACTGTGTTAAAATAGATAAGCTCATAAAAGGTTATTATAATTACCATAATATGATTATGATGCATAAAAAATGATTATATCACATACACATTAGGACACACAATAAGGTTATTATATGTCAGCACTATCTCAACTGATTTTTGACAATATGATGCTATGTGTGGGTTCCGCCTGATTAATGAGTGAATGTTATATGTCTCTAAATGCTCTATAAACCTATTCATGCTATTGAGACTATTGTCAGCTATGTCTCCCCCCTCCAAGCACCCCCTTTGTTCAAGTTGTTACAGCAAAACAAGAGGCCATTGAAAATGTTACAGCACCATAAGACAATGCCCCCTTTGTGTAGCAGTGCAAAATACACTAAATACATTAAATCACCACATAAGAATTAATCAAACTCTCACAACCGTACCCCTCCCCTGCCTACATGCAGCACACAACTCCCTCCCCTTCCCTGCATTACACATGATTATAATGCTAAAAAGAAGATTATAGAGTATAAAATAGGATTATATCACATAAATGATTATTGAAATAATTATTATACCGTACACCAAATGTAAGATTATTATTTTGCAGAAATTTTATAAAATTGATTATATTACATGTAAAGTGACAATATCATAATTAAAGTGATTATACTTATTATTTTATAAAACGTCTGACTTACATTTAAAGTGTCAAACAAGTGTTGCATGAATTGATACATGTAGATATTGGAGAATAATTGACTTACATTTTATAAATCCTATTTAATATTATGAAATTGCAGCAATTGCATAATTGATTCATTCACATTATCGAATTCTAAAACCAATTGTATAACTTGCATATACTCTAAATCGCATAATTCGCATAATTCTAATACCTTGAACTTGTATTACATGTTGATCATTCTCATCCTCAGCATCAATAATTGCTTGTTCTACATCTTCAACAACTTCATCTTCTTATTCAGGTCCGAATTGATCAATAAATCAAACAATGATCAATAAATTAAATTTGCACAGTTTGATCAAAATCAAATAGATAATCATTTATTTTTATAATTCTTACCCTCGTAGTAGCATTCAATTTGAGCATCATCGTTCAGATCAAAATTGATTACGTTGATATCAAAATTTTCTACATTGTCCTGTATATTTTGATTTAGATCAATTTCAACTGAATGTATAGAAGAATTTGCCATGATTTTCGGAGAAATTAATTGATTATAGAGAATTATAAACCCTAGATTGATTAGAAGGAGAGAGAAAAAACTTCGAGCTCTGATGATGAATTGTTAATGGCGTCGATGATGAAGAAGATGCATGAATTGTTTGGGGTTTTATGGGTTTAAGGGTTAGTGGGCTGGGCTGGAGACTTTTTACTGTCTTCTATTTGGTGGTTGGTGGTTTGGGCACGTGAGACTTTGGGTCCACAATAAGTTTATTGTAGACCGAGTCCACCCAAGATGAATTAAATATATAAAGCTAAACTTTTAGCCAGGTTACGAGATTGCGACACTTGGCGTTCTAACTTTTTGTCAAGTGTCGCGCTACGTTGGATAGATTTAAATAGGCTATATAAGATAAAAAAGTTAATTAAGAATTTTATTTAGATAGAATTTTAGGATAAATTGTTAATTTAGAGTTTTATTATCGATAAAATATACAAATTGAATTATAATTTTATTCAAAAATTTATTAGATTATAATTCTAAAAAATTATCATATAAATTTATTTTTTGTATCATGATATTTTTTTGGAGCAAAGAAAGTAGTTTAAAGGATAAAACATCCATTTCTAATATATACTAATCAGTTTTAATTATATACTTCACAATCTAATAGAATGGAGACCTGTCAATTAGGGTTGGGTCATGAGTCATCTTGGATTGGGTAACTTCAGATTATGAGTCAAGAAATGTTCAACCCTTGCCCAAAGTTTAAATTTTTAATGTATTAAATCGAACATTTTCATCAACGTTATTATTAGTCGTTACATACCTACTAGATAGCAAATCGTGAGAAAAGCATAGATTATAAATTATCTTAAAAATTCAATAAACAACTCGGGCATCTTACGGGACACAAACTAGTATCATATAACTAATATATAAAGCTAAACTTTTAGCCAGGCGACGAGGCAGCGACACTTGGCGTTCCAACTTTTCGCCAAGTGTCGTGCCACGTAGGATAGAGTTATATAGAATTCAATTTGTAGGATAAAAAAGTTAGTTTAGAATTTTGTTTTCAATCAAATTTGAATAGAATTTTAGGATAAAATTGTTAATTTAGAGTTTTATTTTTGATAAAATACCAATATTTCATATACACAAATTGAATTATAATTTTATTCAAAAAATATTTAGATTATAACTTTCATAAATTATCATACAAATTTATTTTTTGTACCATAATATTTCTTTGGAGCGAAGGAATTAGTTCAAAATGTACCACATCCATTGTTTATAATATATTCTAATCATTTAAAATAATATACTTCACAATCTTATATAATTTTATTACTATGTGTAGACCTGTCAATCAGGTCGGGTCACCAGTCATTTCAGACAGGGTCATTATTTCAGGTTATGGGTCAAGAAATATTTTTCACCAATTTTATTATTATTAGTCATTACATGTCTACAATTTTAAATCGTCACAAAAACATATCGATTCCTAACTAATTTTGTATTAATGTTATGTTTTAAAATTTGACATACAGATTTAAAAATATATCTTAAAATTCAATAAACAACCCGGGCATCGCATGGGCACAAAACTAGTATATATATAAAAGGGAGTTTTTTCCAGAGTTCTTAGAGAGCCACATAGGATTTAATTTCTTAACGCGCCATGTAGGATTATAAATTTAAGTTGTAGCCAATTAAATAAGAGATTATTAATTTTTTTTACAATTATAATTCAAATGCCACGTAAGCCAAATTGACGAATGAGATACTAAAGTTTAAATTAATTAAATAAAAAATATTATTTTTTTGAGATTAGGAATTTTATCTAATATTCTAAAGCTAATATAACAATAAAAATCACATAAATATGAAAAATATTTTAAAAAAAAAATATTAACAAATCGTGCATCGCACGGGCTTCATCTAGTACAATATATATAGGAAGACAATTATTGCATTTGTTTATTTTAAAAATAAAGATTACTATATATATATATATATATCTAATATTCTAAAGCTAATATAATAATAAAAATCACATAAATATGAAAAATATTTTTTTAAAAAAAATATTAACAAACCGTGCATCGCACGGGCTTCATCTAGTACAATATATATAGGAAGACAATTATTGTATTTGTTTATTTTAAAAATAAAGATTACTATATATATATATATATATATATATATATATATATATATATATATATATATATTGGTGAAAGAGAGGGCATAAACCCAAAGAGAAACAAAAAGAAACATGAAGCTAAACAAACAGACTAAAGAAAAAGAAAAGAAAAACAAAAACACAGCAAAACTAAAACAAGTCACTCGAACTAAGCCCTATCCATAGGAACAAGTCTAGCTCTCGCAACTCCACTGAGGTCCTTCAATAAAACGGCTCTGAGATCCTTCGGGATCGCCTCAAAAATGACTAGTTTTTGCTCTGATCTCACCCCAAAATTAGCTAGCCAGTCTGCAGCCCGGTTCGCTTCTCTATAGCAGTGAGAAATCTTCACTTTCCAACCTTCATGAGCAATCATAGCCTTACATTATTCATTTGGATGATATCACGCATCCGATCTAAAGATTGGATGATATTATGTAGTGTGTCTATAATATTATCTATATGATGAATGATATATCCTCTCTCTCTCTCTTTTTTTTTTTTTTTTTTTATCCTCTATTGTTTTTATGATATAAACATCTTTTATGAGTTGGATGATATCCTCTATTGTTTTGATGATATCTTCTATAAGTTAGATGATATCATCTATTAGTTCTATATCATCTATTGTGTAAATGATATCATCTATAAACTGGATGATATCTTCTATTGGCTACATATGATATCATTTATAATTGTGTCTGTGATATCCTCTATTGACTATATGATATCCTCTGTTGGCTATATGATACTATATATAACGGTGTCCATGATATCCTTTATTGGCTATATGATATCATTTATAATTGTGTTTATGCTATCATCTACAGGCTAGATGATATCCTCTATTGGGTATATATATATGATATCATTTATAATTGTGTTTATGATATTATCTATAGATCGGATGATATCCTCTATTGGCTATATGATAATATCCTCTAACAAATTGTTTGTATCCCCTATCAAAGATAAATTGTATATATCCTCTATCAAATACTACATATTATATAACAAACAATATAATAATATATATCCTACAACAAAATGTATGTATCATCTATCAAGTAACACATATCCTCCAACAAGTTGTACATATCTACTATCAAATAATACATATCCTATATCAAATACTGCATATCATATACTTAACGCACGAATTATTTGATATGGCTTGCCGCACCCAATACTTTCTCTTTAATTATATGTGCATGTTCATTTTTTCATGTTTGTGCTACTTTCAAATCAAGTACATAAAATAACCCTTGGAATCATCTAGAACCTACGTTCAGAGTGTAAAGTTATCATTCATATCAACACGAGTGTTATTTATATAGAGGGAAAATCGAATAGTAGTATTGCTTGGATCAGTAGAAATACACATGATGATATCGTTGATCAATGATCCAAATGAGTTTCTGGTGTCATTGAGATAACATAATGAACATTATAAAAAATTATTCATAGACACAATCATATAATTATATATAGAAGATTTATGTAATTTGTTAATGTACGAATAATTTAAATATAATTTATTTCATGTTGATTGAACACACTAATAAAACACTAATATAAATTATTTAAATGATGTCACATTCAAATCTGAAGATTTGAGGCTAAACTTGATCTTATACAGTTTATATACTTTACCAAACATATTTTTTGGCTGTTTGACCACCTAAATAAGCCAAAAGCTAATAAAAAAAGCCATTAAAAAGCCAATTACCAAACATGGATTCATTCATCACATATTTTGAGACATTGCCCAAACACTCAAACTTCTCTCTAGTATTTTTTTTTTGAACGGTCTCTAGTATCTCCTCCCTCTTCCTCTTGCTCCCCTCTTTCTCTCGGTTCTCCATTAAATCGCACTTCAAGTTCTCCATTGATGCGCCTTCTAATGCTTGTATTCCCCAATTGAAGCAGCTTCTGAGGTGATTTGTTGTTTCTTTTTGTAATCATCATGTCAATTTCGCAATCTAGGGTTTATGTTTGATTTAATTTTACTACTAATTTAATTATCAGAGCAGTAAGTTTGGGGTTCGAAAATCTGAACTATTGGTTCTAATATCTAAGATCATAACCAGCGATTATATATGTTGTTAAATAAGAAAATTATCAGCTTGATTTGATAATTGAATCAAATATCACTAAAATTATGAGACTAATTTGATAATTGAATCAACTATCCCTAAAATTATGAGCTTTTTTTATAATTGAATCAAATTTGGCTCCTAATGTATTGCAGAGCCCTTAAATGTTAGGATTGAACTATGAAATTAGGCCTCTTCTCTCTCCTGTCCTGGCTCAGGGCTGAGCCTGGGTAAAACGGATCATAAAATTTTTATGAATTATTTGGGTAACTTTTATCCCAATTTAAGTTTTATTTTTTTTCTAAATTATTGATTTTCTAATTTGATAGAGTATCCTTTGGTTAAATTACAAGGGTCACTTGTGAAATCTGTAAAAGTCACAAGAATATATATTTATAGAACAAATGATTGCGAGAAAGTGTTAAATTAGTGCAATCTAGCAATAATAAGAGGATTACAATTTTTTTCAAAAATATAAAAGACATTTGATTTTCTCATGGCTTGATTTCTTTTGATTTCCTTCCTCATTAGGGCCTGTTCACATTTACTGAACTGAACTGATTGGAGCTAAACTAAACTAAACCGAGCTGAAATGAATATTTTATAAGAGAGGAAAATCAGGAACTGATTGGAGCTGAACTGAACTGAAATTAAGTAAACGTGAACAGACCCTTAATTTGTTAAAACAAATGTCAAAACTCAAAATAGATGAATGTAAAGTATATATAGAATGTGACAAATTTGGAAACTATGACAAGTTTTTTTTTTTTTATTTTTTTTGCTAGGATTAGGAATGTTTTCTTCACATTCTAAATGTGACAAGTATTTTTCCTAACATGGCTATTTACTCTTATTTTCTCAAGAAACGTTAGCAAATAGTATTTCTTGTAATAATTGAACCCATCTTATTAATCATGCCCATATTGGTTTTTATCATTCATTGACACTAAGCTATATTAAACATCTAGGTCGTGAACTTTTTCTTACTTTCAAAACAGTAGACTTTGAAACCCCCTAGGTAAAAAGTATTTTATGTTCTCATGCAGCATAGAAATAGCCTGAACATTCAATTGAAAAGAAGAATATCTTGTTCAGGCTGGTTATGAATGGCAATTTTTGTGTAGGTTGCTTAGATTAACCTCTCAAATAGTTTAAAGTGCTTAGAGGGAGGCGATGTACATCTAGACCCCCTCGAACCCTATCTTAACAGGATTCACACAGCATTGCTCATATAAGATCAGGATCTTAGTATTTATTTCAAGGCTAATATGTTAGAAACAAAGTCAAAAGGACATTTAGTTTGGAACAATTCTACCCTAGTCTTTATTTGATATTATAGGATCATGACTAGTTAGAACTTAGAACCATTTGCTGGTATGTGTGATATTCACATGTCTTTGAAGTTAAGGTGCTTTTTATTTTATTTATCTAATTATCTATTTTTTATTTTTTAGGAAAGTTCTATTGATTAAGTTAAAAGAAGATTCAAATATTACTATACTAGTGTCGAGCAATTTGACATCATCGTGTGAGATGTGTGGTACTCATTTAATTATACAATAGGACCTCATGAAGAGTTACAACCTTTTTGCTAGTGCCTGTAGTATTTACGAGTCTATGAAGTTGGAGGTGATTGTTTCCCTTGGTAATTACGGTAAAAAAAAATGATTTAATAATGAATTTGATTTCATCTAAGACTCGGTCTTTAATTATATATCTCTTCCTTAGGATAGCATGTCCTTTGACTTGACTTTAAGATGCATTATTGTTATAATTGTGTCTAATACATTTTCTCAAACTGTCACTTGTGACGTGGCGCCTTTATTTTTGTTTCCTTATTATCAATCTATATCTCATATCTTGATTTGGTGAATGGGAATTATTGGGGACTATTAAGTACTTCCTCATTTTTTTTTGCTTGACCTACTTTGACTTTTACAGTGTTCATATATGCTTATTTGATCGTCTTTCATGAGTTATATGTAAGGAAAAGCATATTATCTTGTTAAAATCGTCTCAAAAAATATTATTACAATTTCTATTTTTTACTTGTCGATAAATAAAATTATTGAAGGATAAATTTATGCATCGGTAAACATTATAAATGAAACAAGTCAAGTAAAAAAGAATTTCAATTTTCATTTCTTAGCTAAAGATTGATATCAAACTTATCCTTCTCAATCTTTAGTTAATCCGTTGTCGTGTAGAAGGATAAGTTTGATATCAATCTTTAGCTAAGAAATGAAAACTGAAATTCTAAGAGGACTCAAAATGGGCTGCATGGGCGCATGGATTAAATTTAAGATAATTTGGCATACATCTTAGCAAACTAATGGGCCGCATGGTCGCATGGCTACATGCATTAATTTTTACCTCATTGTCATCAGACCATCTCCAATGGTGAGACTTAAGGGAGTTTCTTTAGGTGAGAGAGAGTATTTTTTGCAAAGGATATTAATAAGTTGATATCTAAACTTAGCAACTCCAAAAAAAAGTTGCTTAGTTTAGATACTCAACTTTGAGTCTCATTTGACAAAAAGTGTGGGCCCTTATCAATATTATAATATGTTTTGTAATTTATTTAAGTTTTAATTTAATTTTTTTTCTAAAAAAAACTTATAATATGATTTGGTGGGCCATAAATTGAAATTAACATTAGTATACTTTAGAAAGCCTCACTATTGGGAAATTAGATGTCACATGAGTTGCTAAATTGAAAAGTGGGTTGCGTATCACCATTGGAGGTAAAAAACAACTCATTTTGTATTTCAATAATCATTTTGTTTACCAACTTGGTCCATTAGCCGAAGTCCACAATTGATAAAAGTTTTTTTTTTTTATTTACAAAATTGCCCCTCGTAGTGGGGTTATTAAATACCGCCCTCGAAGATCTAACTAACGCCCACAAAATAAAACATATTTACGAATTTACCCTCACGTATAAAAACAAAGAATTTAATCGTACAATCACAATATTAACCCCCCACCACTACGGCAGTACCACCACTTACCACCATTTACACTCTTTAAAAAAATTCTCTCTAAACCACCACCACTCCCATTTTAATATTTGTCCATAGTACATCACTTTGCAGCTTCTGCGTCCCTTGATTTCACACTCTCTCTTACAAATCCAGCCACCACAGACCGTCGTTGCTATCACCGTACTACAATCTTGCTCCGGTAACACTGAATTTCATTCCTTCTCAGTCGCCGGAGATTTTTTTTTAATTTTTATTTTCTGGAATTGGCGGAAACGCCTAATTTTTTCGCCATGTCTAGGCTGAAATGCCTAGATCTTTCGAATCACCGAGTGGTTAATTGAAATTTCTGGGCGATTAATCGAAATTTCTGAGCTTAAACGCGGAAATTTCTGGGTTAAACGCCTAGAAATTTCGATCACCCATACGGTGATTCGTAAGATCTAGGCGTTACACCATAAATCTGGCGAAAAATTTGGGCGTTTCTCATTGTTATTATGTATTATTACGAGTGGAAAATTGAACTATTAATTATTGTTTATAAGAATGCCCAACAATTTGTCAGTAGTTTCAGACAGTTTCAATACTCCATTTGGGCGATACATCTGCCAACTCCATTCTATTAAAAAGTACAATAACATTTTTTTTTTTTTTTTTTTATACTTTATAGGAAATAAAGTTTAACGAGGAATCTAGAAATTAAGTTCCAAGGTTTGATTTTTACAACATAAGGTGGTTGGTGGTTGATTTTGGTCATTGGTGGCTGTTGAACACAAAGAGAACGGTTTAAATTTTTAAGTAGGATAAAATTGTTAACGAGGTAAAATTAATTATTTTTATAATAAGGATACATATGTAATTGATAGGTTATTTTGCGGGCGTTATTTAGAGATTCGAGAACGACGTTTAGCTTTCACATAGAATAATGTACTTGAATTTTTTTTTTTTTTTTTCTCTAAAATCACCTTTCTCTCTCATACCTCCGCCCAAAGCAGCAGTAGCCATCATCGCCGCCTTGCAAATGGCGACAGCAACATATCCTCCTCCACCACCATTTTACAAGCTTTACAAAGATTACACACAAAATCCTAAATCGGCTCCTGAACCTCCTCCTCCTATTGAAGGCACCTACACCTGCTATGGCGCTACTTACACTGTTAGTATTTTCACTCTCTTCGATATTTTCTGATTTTGCGTGTTTTTTTTTTTTTTTTGCTTATTTTGTGAACTTATTTGGGTATTTGATTGATTGAGTTTTGATTTTAATTAAGGTTTAGATTGATTGAATTGTTTGTATAATTTGAAATTAATTGTAGACTGATGATGTGCTCCCGAGTTTGGAAGATCAAGGTGTTCGACAGATGTACCCTAAAGGGCCTAATATAGGTATTCCTTTATTCTGTTTAGTTTGTCCAATTTTCGGGTGTATTCCGCACGATTGTTTGATTATAGTTATGTACATTTTCTCGAAAATTGTTTGATTTTTGGAACAAAATGGGGGAAATTGAACGAGGGACTAGTAAATTATAATGCTGATGAAAGTTGTGGAATCCTGAATTAGGAGATACTTGATTAGTTGATTATGTGGCTGCTGGGAGCGTTTATGTTATTAGAAAGAAGGTTGAAGGGAAGTGGATATTTTGATGCCAATTTTGTTCATTAGGAAAAGAGAAACGATACGCTATATGTGCTGGTTATCTAGTGTAGTCTTGTTATTAATTTTAGGTTCGATCAGTGTTTTTCGAAAGGGTTTAGTTGTCGTAGAGATGATGCAATACATATATAAAATGGAAGATAATTTAAATACTTTCACGGTTCTTTAGAAAGGAAACTGGTGTTATATGTGTTTGTAATTTGTTAGGGGTTAGTGGTTATAAAATATGTCCTCATTCATGAAATTGGAAGGTATTGGGGTGGAAAAAAAAAAACTCCTTGTGGAAATCAATTGTCATCTGTTTTTGTAGTTATTAATCGTACATGTTGGAATTAGAGCATGCACCACTCTATTCATACTGTAATCTTTATTTGTTTATGTCATTCATTGTATTGATCTGAGCTTGAATTGATCAGAGAACAATTGATGCTGCTTGAAAGTCTTCATCTTATGTGGCATAATCCCAGACAGTGGCCATTCAGGGAAGAGTGAAATCAGTTTTCGTGTCATGCTGTACTGTAGTCATGAACTGTCATATGAGATTGTGCGCCGTATAATTCTTAATCGATATATACCGGAATAGCTGGTCTTATTTTTCCTCTACTTTGTTTGTAATATTAGTGTGCCTAATGATGTCATATAGACTTCAAGAAAGAATTGAAGACGCTCAATAGGGAGTTGCAGCTGCATTTGTTGGAGCTAGCTGACATTCTTGTTGAAAGACCATCACAGTATGCTAGGAGAGTGGAAGAGATATCGCTTATGTTCAAGAATCTACATCACCTGCTCAATTCACTACGTCCTCACCAGGTACTACTCTAATCGTTGAGTTTCTTTATCTTACTACGCCTTTTTATTCTCCCTGAGCTATGCATATTTATGCATTTACTTTGTTATTCATAGGCTAGAGCAACACTGATCCACATTCTAGAGCTTCAAATACAACACAGGAAACAAGCTGTTGAGGATATTAAAAGGTATGCTTCTTAAAATGCCATCCTTTGATTTATTTTACCCGGAGGCTGAAAATAGAAGTTTGTAGATCCCTTCACCATATGTCTACTTAATACTCTATAGAAAAAACTACAATATTAAGAGTGAAGAATTAGAGTAGGTCTTGTGTATTATACTGTTATACTCTCTAGTGATTTAATAGTTCTTGTTCTGTGAGGGTAATGATCACACATTTTCATTTTGCATCTGGAGTTTTCAAGATGATAATATATTTTCTACTTGGTCAATCTTTCATTTTTGTGTGGGTAACAAATGCATGAATGTTAGACATTAGCTAAATCAATCAACTCTCACACCTCACACCATCCTAACATCCAAAGAAAGGCAAATTGATTTAAAGACCATTACAGTACTACGAAGCTTCTAACAAAAAGTCAATGTGAGGCTAGCCTTTTAGGAAGACTTTTATAGGATACCATTTGTGCACCTCATGTGCATGCATCAATGCCATCCTCATACCAAATAAGTTGCTACCTATTAACAAACAATAGAATTAATCTGATTTTCTATGACTCTAGGAGCTACGAAATTCCCCTATTTATAGACTAAAAATAAGCTAATTCCATCCCTACAAGGATTAGGACAAACCCCTAACCCCCCCCCAAATCCCTACAAGGATTAGGACAAACCCCTAACCCCCCCCTCCGCGTATCCTAACTAGAAAACTACTTCTAATTAGACTAGGAATACTAATCCTAAACAAACTCTAATTAACTAAAAACTTTCCTAACAACCTTAGGAAGTTTATAGCAATTAAATAATAGAAAATAAACCTTATCTTAAGTGCTTAATCCAAGAAAAACCCTCTACAAACAAAACTCTAGAAAAAAAAACTAAGTATAAAAAACCTTCCATTTCACATCGTCGCCGTTCCACCACCACACACGCCGGCCCATAGTGTAGTTGGGTTCAAGGTGGTTCCGGGAAGGTGGCGCATGGGCCTTGTCTCGGCGCGTGGCACCCGTCATCCTCGCAAGAAGTGAACTGCTGCACACCTTCTTCCTTGGTGATCAAGCTTCCTTCTTTCTCTATTGATCTAGTGGACCTTTTCTTGTTTATTTCTTTGTTTGGGCAGCCCATAATAAAGCTATCTAGACTATCTTAAAAGTGTCTTGGACCCTTCAAAAGAATTAGCCTATTGATTAATATCAGGATCCACCTCTAAGCTAATTGGCTTCTTTAACAACTCTTCTCGAGTAACACCTTGGCCTTACCTTGTTGTAAGTTCCACCACCTTAATTCTCGGGTCTCCTTGAATTGTGGTAGTCCAAAAGCTTAACCTCATATGAACATCCTAGACCAAAACCTTATGTTGAGTAGCTAGTTTCCCAAGTTCGGTTGAGATGTGTTTTGTGTTATGGGCAACTCACATGTGAGGAGGAGTGTTAAGCCTATTAACAAACCCACATGTTAATGTTAGTGGAAGTGTTGAACCACATTAAAAAGAGTACTCCCTCCGTCCCTAAATTACATTCCTCCTTTCTATTTTTGGTATTCCAAAATTACATTTTCATCCTTTCTATTTTTGGCAAGTGTTTTTTTAGTAAATCAACTCTCTTTTTCTGTTTTATATTTAATGCTCTCACTCATCCTTACCTAATCTCACTCATAATCCTTGTGCCAAATAACAATGAATATGATTGGTTAAAAATTTTCAATTAGGAGCATGTGATTGGTCCTTTTTTTTTTCAAAGGATTGATGACATGTCATGAGTAATAACTAATCTATCTTTGTACTTTCCACTGCATTATCTAATTATTGTTATTTGTCTTATTCTTCCCTCTTTAATTCCCGTGTAAATTTCCAAAAAAGAAAGTAATTTAGGGACGGAGGGAGTATAAAAGTAAAGGAAAGTGTTGAGATGTGTATCCCACATTGAAGAAAAGTGAAAGTTGTATCCACTTTATGTGGCTAAGGGGCCACCCCTCTTGTTGCCATATGATTTTGAGGTGGAATCTCCTTGGACTTGTAAAGTGAACACTTGTGACTCGTATGGACCAGGCTCGTTTATCAAGTTAGGGATTTAAATAATGGAAGGACCAAAAGTTGATGTTATAACAATTAGGGGTTCAACCTTTTCACCAAGGAGAGTTGAACTCTTTCCCAAAAGAAGAATAATACATCTTATACAAAGCATCAACTTTCTAAATCAAGGGATGTCTGATGTATTAAACAAAATCATCCAACATTACTTTATAAATGGAATGCAAAATAGTTAATGCACTAACATGCTTAGTTTTAAAAAGCGCGCCTAGGCGCAGTTGAGGCGCAAGGCGACACGAGGCGCAGGCCAAAACGCCTCGGCCTTCCTAGGCGTCGCGCATTCCAGAAGGCGCGCGCCTTAGACCGCCTCCACCAAGGCGTAAGGCGCAGCGCCTTAGCCGCCTTACGTTTAGAGGCGTGAGTAAAAGGGGATTTGGATTAATTTTTGTAAAAAAAAAACACATTTTTTTCCAAATTAAAGCTTACCCAGTCTTTAGAGAGATAATTCGAGCAAAAGCCCCTTGTTAATTGAATGAAATTACCTCAATTTGACTTCCAATTTAAAAGCCCTAATTTTTGAAAACCCTAATTTACGGGTTGCTTTGCAATTGAAAAATTGGTGGGTTCTGCTACGGCAGACCGGAGATCAATCCCTGGTGGTTTCCGGCTGCAGATATACCCGGCGGCCTACACCGGTGAAGCAACCCAGGTATGTTTTTTTTTTTTTTTTTTTTTCCTTCTATTCATTCTTTCTTTTTCTGCTGCTGCTTATTCTCTCTCCTCTACGGTCTCTGACTCTCTCTAGTCTCTACCCACCTACAATAAAGTAAATTTTTTTATTTCTTTATTACTTTTTATTATATTATATTATTATTATTATTACCAAAAAGCCTGCTTTTTTTTTTTTACTGTTAATCACGTGACCTTACCACCTTTCCTTTTCTTTAACCAAAAAAAATAGTTTAAATTATTTATTATGCTTAAATTTAAGTATTTTAAGAAAAATAATAACAAAAAAACTGTAAAAAATTTTCAAAACAGCACTACGTAAAATAAAATGAAAAAATTATCACTTTAATTTGATTTTTAAATAAATTTTTAATGTCAAAAAAGAAGTTAAATAAAAATAAATTCACATTAAAAAATTTGCGCCTCATATTCAAGAGGCGTGCACTTTCGCTTTGCGCCTAGGCTCTAGGGACCCTCTGCGCCTCGGTGCGCCTCGCGCTTTTTAAAACTAAGCTAACATGTACAATGAGGATGGGCAGAAAAGTAAAGGAAAAACGTTACTCCCTCCGTTTCACTTTGTTAGTCTCATATACTATTTTGCTTGTTTCAAAATGATAAACCCATATAGAATATATTTTTAGCATTATTAAAGGGTGAATAATTTTCATAATTTGTTAATAATTAATCTAATTGGGTGTTTAAAAGTCAAATAATTCTGATTGGTTAGTATATGTGCTAGTGGATTGTTGACAAGACAAATTCTTCCAATCAAAATTTATTATAGGCGATTAGTTAATATCAATATCTTTAGCATATTAGTCATAGTCTATAGTAGTAACTTTTGGAATAAGCTAGATCTTTGTTAGGGGGTATTTTCTTTAAATAGACCTCATTAGGAGGAATTAAGTCATGTTGAAAGTATTATGAGGTTAGTTATTGAGAGAGAGTGAGCCTTTCGAAAGCTCATATTTGAAGAGCATCCACCTCTCAAAAGTGGAATTATCATTCTATTAGTGTAATTCACATATTATCAATATCATTAGCATTTTTCTTCCCCCCTGCCATAGTTAGAGCTGTAATCATGTCAGAATCCATGCTAATTCTTAGCAGATTCTTACCTTAGTTTTACAAGTAAAAGGTGCAAGGCGCACCAAGACGTAAATGGTCCTTGCAGCCTAGGCGCAAGGCGAAGGCGCGCGCCTTTTGTATGCAAGGCGCATGTATTTATATATTTATTTCAAATTATTTTTTACTATGATAGTACTTAATACCAATTAAAAAGATTCATAATAAATTAAATATTGATATATTTAAAGCTAAAGTAGTCTGAATTTGAAAAAATGTCCATCATTCTTCACTTTATAACTTAAATCTTAGTTATCTTCCTTGAGGCGCAAAGGCGCGCCTTACCAAAGGCACTTTGAGGCGCGCGCCTTCCGTAGGTGACTGGGCCTCGCCTAGCTAAAGCCCATTTCGCAGAGCCCGGGAGGCGCGCCTTTTAAAACCAAGATTCTTACTGCCAATTCCCATAAATAAAACATGAAAAGACAATATTAATTACAAAGCTATAATCAAGGTTGCACGGATTCGCCAAATGGCTGTCGTCTCCCGTACCGGATATGTTTCGGGGACGGGTACGGTATGGGTTCGGTTGGGAAACGTCCCCAAGGCGTCCCCTTCGAAAGTGGTACGGCAAGCTAAGAAGTCAGTGACTGTAGTCTGTAGATGGCAGTCCAGTAGGTAGAAGCCACTTTCCGCTTTTTATTTTATTTTTTCGTTTTAACTAGTACTATATTTTATTTTATTTTTTTTTACATTTTCTGAATTGTTTTTTTTTAATTGCCGTATTCAACCCGTAACCGTTTTTAGAAATTTTGATTTTGTGGTTTCCCGTCCTCGTATTCGTACCCGTTTTTGTCCCCGTATCCGTTTCAGTGCAACATAGGCTATACTCAAATTCCAAATTAATAGGATTCCTTCTTTTCTTATTTTAAGTGATTGATTCCAAATGGGACTAACAAAGTGAAACGGATGGAGTATTAAATAAATGGTAAAGGAATGTAAAAACTGTAGCCAAATAGTAGCAGAATAAAGCCTCAATGGAGTATGGAAGCGGCCATTAGAGTAATAATTCCAAAAAAAAAAAAAAAAAAAAAGAAGCAGCAGCATGGATATGACTTGAATTATAGATTTGGTTAATATATTGGTTCTTGATAAGCAGAGCTGAACAACTTTATTAAAAAAACAAGAAATGATAAGTGGTTGATGTGTTTCAGTTAAAGTTTTGATGATCTATGGTCATTGCCAGCGTAAATTCAAAGGTCTGGTTAATATAATGTTTCTAGTTAGGCATATAGCTAGTACAGGGAATGAACAATTTTAATCTAGAAAAACTTAAGGCATCAATTTTTGTCTGAAATGTACATTTGGCTGATAAAATTCTTAATCTCTACCGGCTTAATTTGAATTGTTTTAGTTGTCTATGAAAAGATATCATGGTGATGTTTTTGTTAAGCTAGTATACAATGTCAGCACTTTGTTATTGGTATTGCACTAGGTAACACAATTGATTCATGGGCTAAGAATGCAACTTTATATATACATTATATAGGTTCAAGTCTGATATTTGAAGCTTCAAAATTATAAGCCTACCTATCTCTTAGAATATATGATGTTAAGGAGTTTTTTGGTTCTGCTTGTTTAAGCCTGAGTGTTATTCAAAGCTGCAAAATTATCTACTTACCAATTCCCAACAAAGTAATCTAGTGCAAAAAATTTATTGTAGCTATCACATATATATGATAGTTCCGTAAAATTATCATCATAATTTCAGCCTGCCGAAAAAAAAGAACGTAGACTGAATGATACACAAAATAAAAACATTTAAATGGATTACTACCATTGAAAAAAAATAATAATATTTAAACGAAATTACACCCAGCCCACAAAATAGAAACAAAAAAGACGATTTTTAGTTATTCAGAAAAATTAATGCAACAAACAGAAAGGAATTGAGTAAGCAGATTGTAAAAAAAAAATAAAAAAAAAATTATGTAATGGAGCCCAACAATTTAAACAATTATGAGGTTGAGCAATTCAAAACATTAAAAATTTAAGAGAATCCTAAATTGATTGGGACGAAAACATACTGAAATGTTGTTATCTATCTTATTCCCTTTTCGCTTTGAAGCGACTACTAAAATCTTCAAGCTGCAACCAGCAAAAGTACGAAGCTCAACATCTTTAATAAATAAGGCGAGTGTTGCTTGAGCTTCACAAAACACATTCTGTGTTGACATCCTGCATTTCAGCCTTTTTAGAGAACATGACTTGTCAAACCAGAAAATCTCTGCTCAAACCAGAAAATCTTCTGTTTTCATTTCCCATCAGTATCTTCATGCTGGGAATTAGTTCAGAAAAACAGAGTAAGCAAAAGAGATAGAGAAGAAAAATAGCAGCTAAGGTAGATTGTATTGCAAGTCAAGATAGCCACAATACACTCCTTTCTTTCGAGAGGAAAGGATGCTCTCCCAAGGAATAATTTCCACTACAAAATTCTCAATGCCTTTCCCCTCTACAAGCTTCCCTTAAATACCCAAAAATAACTACCTAGCTGACATAACAGATTCATCCCCCCTCCCAAGGACTAACAAACTTATTTCCCAATTTACTGATTTACCCCCTTCCCAAACTAACTTCCAGCTCACTTCTTCTTATCCACCCCTTGCTTGGGCCTCCTCCTTGCATAAGTAAAACACACCCTTGGGCTAGGCCGATCTCTTGCACTTCATTGAACATATTCTCTAATTAAATTCCTTGACATTTGATAAGACAAAATCAGCATATAATCTATTGCCTCTACCAAAACTTCCTTGACATTTCCTACCACATTGGCACATCAGCATATGATTTAATGCCGCTACCAAGACTTCCTGTCTTGGGTGTGGTTTGAGGAAGGGGAGGGTGTTGGCTAAACCGATTGTTTTATAAAAAAAATGTTGTTTTTAATTGACTTTGAATTTAACATGTAATAGCTGTCTCTTGTTTCACAACAAACAAACAGTGCTAGTAGTATAGTCCTACTGTCCTAGAGTTGGGATTGACGTATCTGATTTTAGCTATTGCTCAATAGAAGCTCAATGAAACTATATTTGGTTTAGCTGGGATTGCTGTATCTGAGTTCAGATCGATATTGCTTAAGAAAGCTCAGTGATTCTGTATCTGATTTACCTGGGATTGCCAGGTAAGCTAAGTGCGGAGTATTGTCTAACATCTAATGAAGTCAAGGGCAACTGAATCTTGTGTTGCATGCTACAGACGTATTATGTAGGAATTGGAAGCAACTTTCCATAAGATGTCACCGCTAGAAAATGTGATACAGTAGCAATGATATTAGGGCCTTTGAATCTATTTTCAATTGACTTGTATTGGTACAGTCTTTTCTGATTGCCAGTTATGCTCCTCGTAAATTAAAAGTAATATCATTGTCACGTTCAATGATAACTCTTGAATCATAATCATATTAACCTATAATAGTCTTCGCTTAAAACCTTTCATGATGGTTCATGGCTAAATACTTGGACGTAACAAAATAAATGACATGTAATGGTAACTGATTTTTAAGTGATACTTCACGAATATATACACTGTTGAATTTGATACTCTAGGTTTCAATTTATGATATACGATATATGTATTATTGAATTTCTAACTTGTGTAGGAGGCGAGAAGAGGCACAAAAACTTCTGAAGGAGGCTCTTGTTACTTTGGAAGGACAGTAGCACTTTCTTAAAAGGAATATTCTAAAGTGAGAGCACATTTTTTTAAACTGATAAGCACACGGTCTGATGATCTTGATCTCTAATTTGCTTCTGTTCTGTGGTTACATAAGAAAACATGGAAGGATCCACGTCAATCTAAACAATGGCTGCGTTACTGGATGGGTATGTTGATCTTGTTTTCGAGTCTAGTCATGATGGTATGCTTATAAGGAAATTAACGTGAACAATCTGATCTTTGTATATTATGCTCAATTTTTGTTGTTGACGAGGTGGAGGTTAAGAATTTTGCTGCTGCTGTTTGATTGAATGGAGGGATGTGAGTGGTGTAGTTTAAGGGGGTTGTGGTGTATGATAAGATTAGGCAAGCTGACTTGTTTGTTGGTGCTGCTCTGTTACTTACCAAGGAAGTGCTCTGTTGCTTAATATGACTTTGATGAAGAGTTTTGAAAGTTGTAAATGAACATGTACTTCTTTGTATAATGTGTTATTGTGTTGTATCTATACAATGAAGCATAAAAAATAGGGAAAAAGAAATTAATGTGACAAGGTTGGAAATAGTTCCAGAAAATACAGAGAATTAAGGAAGAAGAAAAGAGGGGAAAAGAGAATGAGATCAGAAAATCTAGAATTAGAGAGAGAAAGAGAAAGAGAGAGAGGGAGAGATGTAGAGAGAGAAGTTGTTGTAATCATTCTTGATTTTTGATTAATCATTACAACAAACTATATAGCATTATAGCTGTCAAAGCTCATTACAGCCACACAAAACAACCCCGTAACAACTTGTAACAAATTGAAGAAAAAGACAAAATAGCTAAATTGGCTCATAACTAACTTTCCCGCCAAAATTTAACAAATAATTAATCAAACAATAAGCTGTGATATAATGTCCTGTATCATATCCTCCCCCATCAAAAAGACTTGTCCTCAAGTCTGAGACAAGAACCCAGGAAATTGAGCCTCAAAGTCAGCTTTAGCCATCCAGGTAGCATCATGAGCAGGAAGATTAGACCAATGAACCAAGGAACAGTCCTTTCAAACTCATCATATAGGGAACACAATTAAATGAATTAATTAGCTATGCATAGTGACCCTTAAGATAATATAGCAACATTAATGTCAAAAAAGCCATAGTGCCTTTTATAATACTCCGTGGCTTTAATAGTAATATTAATTAGACAGTTACACAATATGTCTATAATCTTTCTCAGAAAAAAAAAATTAAAAAATTAAATCAAATCAAAACCACAAAACAATATGTTGAATATCATCATACTAAATCTAATCGAATCAACCAAATGCAATAAAATAGCATTCGATCACCATCAGTTACAGTAGAAATAGCACTCAATTGAAGATTATCGTTATCCGATCCTCTGGTTCGTCTTTTTCAAAATCATCAACCTCGTGTTGTTCGGGTCCATTGTTGTTGAGATCTTCAATTGTAATTTGCGAATAATCTGAAATATATTGAATATTTGTGTAATTTAATTGTAATTGTAATTTACTCGATTTTTTTGGCCAAAGTAAATCAAATTAAAAGCTTAATTGATACCTTCATTGTTATTTGTGTTTGATTCAAATTCACGAATTGATTAGTTGAGACTGATAGCAACTGAAAATTGTTGTTCCATTGATGAATTCAGCAATTCGTGAATTAATTTGTTGAGATCAATCCTTCCATTGATGAATTTTGCAGCTTTAGCGTTGTTAGTTTTTTTGTATAGAGGTTTATTTTTGGGTTCAGTGGGAAGAGGGTGGGCTGAGAAGTGTATGGGCTGAGAATTATATAACGGGCTGTCTGTGTTGTTGCTTGCACGTGAGACCATATTTTATTGTGGACCAGGTCCACACAAGATCTTTTGCTTCGTATTATAGAGTTCGAGTGTAAAATTAGTATTTGGATCATTCAACCTGTCTTTTCTCTCACCTTTGCTCCACCACTCACTCTCACTCTCGTGGTATTACCGCCACCTCCCTTCCCGTTGCCACTATCACCACCACAATTTACTATTGTCCTCCCTATTGCCGCTGCTCCGCCTCCTCATTCTTTTACTGTTTGGCACCACATAATTAGTAAATTTTAAGGTTTTAGTGGTCAAGAATCTTGTTAACAAACACCTCTTTATAGTTTAAAATATTTCTTAGAATAGTACTCGTATTTATTTGGGAATAAATATCAAAATCACAAGTCGATTGATGTAATTAATGTTCATTTTAAAATTTAAAAATTAAGTTATAATAATATCCTCGGAGCATTATTAGCTTTTGTTAATGGTCAAATTTGAATATGAAATGATCATCTCAAACCATAAATTGATATTTTATTTTTCGAATCTCTTGTCTTGATTTTAAATTTGACTTTTAAAAATATTTTATCTTGATTTTCATTTCTGAAGTGTGTCGGGTGAGTTTTTCCAAGGTTGATGGGTTTTGTTTGAGGATGGTTTAGGTTGTGCGGGTATGGTTTGGGACTTTGGGGATAGTGGTGCTAGTTTTGGGAAAGTTGGGATCTGGTTTCATTAAGTGGGCTGGTTTTGGGTGGGTGGGAACTGGGAAGAGTATTTTTGGTGCTCTGGTGAAGTTTGAAGAGGTTTTGATTAGCAATGGGTGATTATTTATAACTTCTAGGATTATACTCACTCCGTCCATAAATTACATTCCTATTTCTAGCATTTATTTCTCACATAATAGAGAAAAGTAGGAATGTTATTTAGAGACGGAGGGAGTACATTTATACTTTATTATTATGCTTTCAAAACTTTGATTAGATTTTGTGATATTCATATGAGATTTTTTTAGATTTTCTCAATGTGTATGTTTAAAATATAATTTTATTTATTGATAATAAGAGAATTTATAGTCGAATTTGTGCATTAACAAATGTAATAAAAGAAATGTGTAAACTAATTTGAATTGGGAGAAGTATCTAAAAAATCTAAATTCTAAAGCAAGAATACCAAATTACATCAAATGTTAATTACACCCAAAATTGTGTGATTTTTCGTGTAATTTTTTTTTGAATAAAATATCAAATAAAGAGGTTTACTCCTCCTTTCTTATCAGGTTTTGGTACGTGTATTACAGAAATTTAGTAGGTATGATGATAGTCATGAGACCTTAGAGAAAGAGAGGTTAGCAAAGAGGTTAACTTGAAGGTTTTTTTTTTTTTTTTTTTTTTTTTTTTTTTTTTTGGTGAGATCCTAAAGAGTAGTAGAAGAATATTATTTTAAAAAAAGGGAATATTGAATTTTTATAGATATCATTACCCCTTAAAATAAGTTTTTTTTTTTTTTTTTTTTTTTTTTTTTTTTTTTTTTTGAGGAATAGTTTAGGAGCCATTTTATTAATCAATGGACAAAGTGTCCATAAGTACATAGGGAGCAATAACAGAAGGACAGTGATTCTCCTAGACCTATTCACAACCAAATGGTACTAAACTAGCAAGGTAATGGGCAACAGCATTCCCATCCCTACGCACATGCGACCAATTAACATAATAAAAAGAACTACAAATAGAGAGCACATCCTCTAAGATGGAATCTAAATCTGTAAAATAAGTGACTGCTTTTGAGAGGCGAGAGATGATAATTTGACTTTCGGATACAATGATGACTTTCTTAAACCCATAGCGGCTTGCTAGTTTTATCCCAAATAAGACAGCCTTACACTCCGCGATCTCCGGTGGCCAGCTACCCCTGCATCTTCGTGTGCCTGCAAATAACACCTCACCATCTTTGTTTCGAATGAGACCAACCCAACCACTATCTTTCAAAGAAGCATCACAGTTCACCTTCACAAAGTCATCAGGAGGGGGAATCCAAATTTTCGGGCTGCTTGGTTTCTTCTTGCTGGGGAGTGCATAAATTCTCGTAGCATACTTGTTGCAATCCTCAACGAGCCTAGCAACTCTTTCACATACTACCATATGCGGCACATCCTTATTATAGTTAGACAAAGAGAGATGTATTATTTTCTAATTTTTAATTAAAATATCAATCTTTGGTTAGATTGAAAAAAGATAATAACAAAATTGGTTATATAAAATTAGCGCATTTTCTCTGTTGCTGGCCACATCAGCCGGCTGACACAGGAGGAACTCCTTACTGGGTAACCCTTGACAAGCTGAGTAATCTCTGCCTGATCGAATAACTTATGGCGATTAAGTAATCCTTGATCAAGTAACCCCATCAACACGGTGTGGTTAGCCACATATGAAACTTTGTGTAATAAAATATATTTTGTAAAACTTACTAAAATACTACGTAATAAATATTTGTGGAATGGAGAAATCAAGTGATTTATCATACTCCCTTCGTCCCAGAATACTTGACACAGTTCCTATTTTCGTTTGTCCGAAAATATTTGACACAATACTAAAGCTGAACTGAACTGATTAGAGTTGAACTGAATAGAGCTGAAATGAATATTTTATGAGATAAGGAAATTAGGAGCTGAAATGAACTAAACTTGTTTTGGGTGTTTTTGTCCCTCGCTAGAGTTACATCATAAAGTCTGGTACGACTCGAGTTGTAACTGCAAAAACAATGGAGACCCCGGGTGGTTGGAGCTGCGTCTCCGACGATCAAGTTAGAACTTGAATAAGAGAAAAAGGTGCGGAAATTTAGGTGGGGATCTTCTCGGATTCCAAGATCAGGTGTTCTCTGATGAGAGAGAAAATGGATGTAATAAATGATTGAATGTATCCCCAAAATAGGGGAATATCTCCCTATTTATAGGATCTTTGGGAAATGTGCCCCTCCCTAGGTCACTCTGACCTAGGTTTGGTGGGTTGCGCCGTAGAGCGCAGATTTCTCGGGATTAGGCCTTTGAAGGCCGCAATTCTGATTGCTGTCCGAGGTTGCCACTGTCAGCTGGTGAGTGGCCTATGATGACCTGCCAAGGCTAGACACGTGGGCCTCTCTCATTGGTCCACATGTCTAGGGTATTTTAACCTTAAACATTTTCCCCTCACAAGGGTGACGTGGGGGGCCACGTGGAGCTTATGACACGTGTTTCCCCGTGAGAGGTGAACAATGAAAACGGCTAGTAAATTCTGAGGTGTGACGGGGAGGCTCCCGTTTCACCTCTCTATTAATTGAGTTTTACGCCCCCTCCCTTCTCTCACTATTTTCACAACTTGGAATATTTAGAGAGAGAAAGAGAGATTCTTAGAGAGAGATACTCTAATCCTTCCTGCATCAGAACTTTAAGATTTCCGTGTGCGTCCCTGGTCACCGTCTGTAGCAGTTTTCAGAGTTTTCAGAACTTAAGTAAGGTAACCGCCTGTACCCTCTTTCAGCTTTTCTCTTCATTTCCATCTATATATTCTTTTGTCCGTCTGCATACATATTCTTTGAAAATAAAAATGGACTCTCCATCCACACACACGACACTGCCTAGGACTTTCAGTCGGTCTCCTGGTACGACTGAACCTAGAACCGGGGGTACCTTTTCTGGACAGTCGAAACTGCTTTGCTCATCTCCGAATTCCTCCCTCTCTGTGTTTGTGCAGGACACAATGGCAAGAGTAAAACAGACGGTTGTTAAGCTTAGACGACGGCGCGCTAGGGAAGTTTCCACAAATGAGGTTATTCGAGATGAGGACTATAAGGGTCCGGATGAGCAAGACGGTTCCTCAGATGGTGCCCCCTCTTCCCCGAATAGCACAAGTGTAAGGGAGGCAGACGGCGAGGATGTCGTCTCTTCTTAGGAGTTGGAAGATGAGTCAGGCGGTGAAGAGGCCGCCGAGAGATCAAGATCAGAGGCGTCTGGCTCTGATCAAGTGCAATTTTGCGGCTGACTACTAGCAGCCGGCTAAAACATCGAGTTTCCCAGACCCCACGAAGACAAGGATGCTTCCGGGTGACATAGCCTTGCTGAGGAGCGGCTTTGCAGCTTTTAAGGAAAAACACCCCTTTGGAGAGGAGTGAGAAATTGTAGTTTCTCCTGGAGATGTAGTGATGGCCTGGGGGGACGAGATTGAGAATGCAGACAACTACTTTGTCTGCTACGAGGCGGTAATAAAAGTCGGCCTCTGCTTCCTTCTTCATAAGGGGATTTGAAAAATTCTTAAGGGGTATGACCTAGGCGTCTGGCAGCTCACCCCGAACTCATGGGTCAATATTCTGAGCTATATCGTCGCCTGCGAGTTTCAGAATATAGAGCCCAGATTTGCAGCCTTTTCTCACATGCATTACATGAGCAAGGCCTCAGGCGGCCATGGGGCGTGGTATACTCTTACCACCCTGCCCCAATACCTGATGACTTTGGACAAAGTGTCCAAATGGACCGGGGGGAAGGAGAAGTTTTACTTGATCTCCTCCCCCTCGCTGAGACACAACCGGACTCTGCGCCGGTACAATAAGGAGCCGGCTCTCCTGGGCAGGAAATATGGCCTTCCTCAGATCTCTTCTAGAGCCCAAGAGCAAATAATGGAGCCAAGATTTTTCAAGACCACAATTGAGCCCTCGGGGGATGGGACTTAGATAATTGTGCCAAAGAACTAGATCCCCTGTAGACACCCATTTGTGTCTCCCCAAAACCAAACCCAGTGATGAATACCTTTCATGTCATTTGATTATCGAATAAAGCGAAAGTGTGAAAGTCTAGTGATGATGATGTTTTTATTAAAATATCTCTTCTTTCTATTTTTGAAAATATTTCTTTTCTTACCCTATTTTTGAAAAACGTGCATTCCAATTTAGTTTGGTCCATGATATGGGTCCAATAATGGTGTATTTGGATGGGTCTTGAAAAGACCTTTTCCACGATACATTATAAGCCCAATTCTGATGAATAATGAGGAAGTTATGACCAAAATACTAAACTGGGCCCAAACCGGATTTTACCTACGACCCAATGATCATGTGGAGGGTCCAAAGGTCTAATCCTTTTCCTAAAATAATTAGGATTAATTAGAAGATTCTATAAGTTTCTAAAAGATCTTAATTATCCTTTTTGGAAAAATAAGATTAAAGAATTTGAGTTAAATAAAAACTTTCCTTTTTTAAAACTTTCCTTTTTTTAATCCTAATTCTATTCGAATTTAAAGATGTTCAAAGACAGTCAGATTTTATTTTTGTTCCTCATAATATTTATCCAAATTTTATATGGTTGGATAGATCTTGAAATTATCTTTCCAATGATATATTATAATATTAAATCCGAGTTATAAAAAAAAAGATTTGAATGAGATATGAAACTCTATCCAAAACTGACACCGTCCTGCTATTTCGGCTATATCTTTTTATCTATAAAATATTTTAATCTGATTCTAATTGGGTTGGAAATTAGACTTCAAGATCTTTCCAACGACATATCATATGCCTTATTTTGACTTTTGGATCAAAAGATATGATAAAAACAAAATCCGCAAAACTGCTGTCCATCGAGTTCTATTTCGATTCGAATTCGGATTCTTTTCTTATTCTTCGACTCTCTTTTTTCTCTATAAATAGAGGTCATATCTCCTTTTTTTAATCATCAAGTCTCATCAAGAATTTCTTGATTACTCTCTCTCTCTCTCTCTAAACCAACCCTTTTGCATACAAAATTCCGCATTCACAAGATCAAGACACACCTAGCATAATTCGAAGTTGCCTTCGCCCTAGATGTGAAAGGTTTAATATTTCTGAGGGTTTGGTCCCAAATCTCTATTTCAATTATTTTATTTTATTTAATTGTTTGTTTTTTTTAATATTTTCCTCGAAGTTACTAACGCGTGTATTTTGTTATTAGAAATAGGTACAAGGCATCCAAGTAAGTGCTTTTAATTGATTTATTGATATTATGATATAGAAATCATGTCTAGGTTGTTATTATGATTCCTAGCGTCATGTTAGGGGTTTTGATCTTCCTAGTATCATGTCTAGGGTAACCTTAATATCAAGTATGATTAAAAGTATGATGCTTCCTATTTTCTTCCTAATATTTATAATTGTTAGTATCATGTTAGGGTTATATATTTGATTTTTATTGCTTAATGACATGCTAGGGTTTGTTATTAATCTTGTTAGTATCATGCCTAGGATTTTGCTATTTTTATTATGCTTTAACATGATTATGATAATTATAATTATTTTAATTATTATTATGATGATTATTTATTATGTTATTTGATTTTTATTGTTATTGCTTGATCACACCTTTTATGCATGTTTAAAGGGAATTTGTACTTGTAATCACGCTTAATAAGATAATTAATAATCTTGTTAAAGTTAATATGATTATAATTCAAGTGATCGCCAATAATAGTTTATTTGTGCATTAATATTCAACCAACATAGATAAACAGGTTTAGGGTTAATCCTATTGATTGTATGTTAGTCAGAAAGCACACATGAATACGATCAGAATAAAGTAGAGGCCTATTATTAGGGCAGGTTCAATCTCTTTTAGGTTGGATTTGTACCTTCATCCCCGAACTACCAGTCATGGTTCAAGACCTATTGGAGTTGACGATCCCTTGGATCATTAAGGGGTGTAACCTTCACCTCGTGAACGGTTTATAAGTTCTCAAAACTTGTTGGTGACTCTTTTGCTCTATCTTCTTTCCCTTTGGACGCCACCGTACTTTACTGTATAGGTTTGAGCTAGGGGTAATGCTTGGAATATTCCCTACACCCCATCCAGACTTTTTTAAGGACGAGGTGTTCGTGTCCGCTTGCAGGTTAAGCACCATGTTCCCAATGGGTAGACTTGCTATACATCCGACAGATTTGTCGTCTCTGTTTATATACTTCAGCTTTTTCAATTGTTTTGACTAACTTTTTGTTTGCTCCTTGTAGCCGAAGCGCTGAACATGGTGGATCCGGAGAAGACACCGGCTAAGTCTGCTGCGCAACTGCGCAAAGAGCAGCTGCTAGCCAAGAAGGCAGCCGTTGAGGCTAAAGAGGCCAAGAAGGGCGGGGTAAGACCGCCTGACTT